AACGACTGGAGGTCGCGGTGCAGGACGATCGGCAACGTGATCTTGGTGCGGCCTAAAAACGGGGCGCCTCGGGAGCGGCAAAGAAGCGGGCGGCGGCAATGTTGGCAGGGACGTCTTTCTCCAGGCGCAGCACGTGACCCAGCAGGCGCCAGCGTTGGCGGGCGACGATCTCGCTCAGCGGGACACTGTTGCAGCGCTTGTAGAGCGCGACGTCGCCGAGCGTGTTCGGGTGAAAGATGCCTAGAAGACGACGCAGCTGCCGGCGATAGAAGCTGTCAAGGCCCGCCAGACTCGTTGGCGTCAGGGCCCAGGTGCCACAGTTGTACAAAAGGACCGGGAGCACGTAACACTTGTACAGCCGCACACGGTTGCCTTCCGAGATGAGGCCTCGACGCATCCAGATCTTCCACATGTTGTTGAACGCCGTTGTCGCCACATCTACCTACGTGCTCTGCTGCACTGCAGAAGTCTGTCGCGTCGGACGGCTCAGCCAGTAATACCATTAGGCATCAACTACGAATACATTCCGAAGCCGGCGGGTCGGTGAACGCGTGGGTCCGATGCGGCGGCTCGGAGAGGGACCGCATCACGGCCATGCTTCTCGGCGATGCAGACGGCAACAAATACCCACTTTTTCTCGTCATGAAGTCGGACGCCGAGAATCATCCAGACGCGCGCCCAGGCTTTGATGCGACTGCGTGGGAGGACATGCAGATCATCCAAGAAGAGACGGGCGGCCACCCAACGGCCACTTGGAACAGCGATCTCTCGCTCGCGTTCCTCCGATTCCACTTTGGCCGCCGCGCGCATTTGAACGAAAACGTGCTGCTCGTATGGGGCGCCCCCTGGACGCCGGACGTGCAAGCGTACGCCGATGAGATCAATGTGGTCCTCCACCGCGCGCAACCAACCAACGCGGTGTGGAAAACACGCTGATGAACCGCCTTCGCCGCATTTGGATCGACAGCCTCCGCGCCCAAGTCGCTTACCACACGTCCATGGCCCACTTTGTCCTGCAGCCACCCTGCGGCATCGAGCTCGCTGCGTGGGTGCAAAGCACGTGGGACTCGCTCTCGAGAAACACGATCCAGAAGGGCTTCAAGAAAAAGACGACGACCTTGTAGCATCCTCACGCAGCCCAAACGTTGCCAACGAAGAGGACGACGCTCTCTCGTGCCTCGAGCCATCGCTGCTCGAAGCGCTTGTCAACCTGAAGATTGCCCACGACGTCGACGCAGACGAGGACTCTGATTCCAGTCCCGAGAGACAGCGCAATCTCCGCAGCCCGGTCGACAAACCGGTCAGCCGCGCAATGGGCGAGTACGTCGGGCGCGCAGCCACTGCACCGCGGCCCGGCCACACAATGGTGACGCTGCCACACGTGCCTACTCTCGTCACCGTCCCGTCGTTCCCGCAGCACCTCACGACGCGCGCAGACCGTACGGAGATCACCGCATTGGCGCAGAACAAGGAGCTGTGGACGGAGCTGACCGAGGCGATCGTTGCCGGCATGTCCACGCACAATATTGTCGAAGACTGCCTTGCACGTACGCGGCCACCTTTCTAGCACTGTTGCGCTGATATAGATGCAAAGCAACGTCATATTGACCCTAATAATACTTACTTGCTACGTCTCCAGATCTTGCACATTTTCTTTTAATGCAATTGTTTCCTTAGTGTTGGCTGACGTTTTTACCCGCGACAACGTCGCCCGTCTTGGCGTACAGCGCTTGGATTTCGGCGCCAAATACCTTTTTGACCTCGCTGCGCTTGACCTTGAACGTCGGCGTTGCGAGGTTGTTTTCAATTGTAAACGGCTTAGGGTGCAGCAGCAGCGCCTTGATCAGCTCGAAACCGTGGAGCTTTCCCTTCTTTCCGACAGCCACAATGTCGCGAAGGACCGCTTCGTTGATGGCGGCATGCGCACAGAGCTCAGCAAAGGTGCCCGTCACATCCAAAGACGCTGCGAGGCGCGTGATCTCGGCTTCTTCGGGCACAATGATCGCAACCAGCACCGCGTGCAAGCTGTCGCCGTACACAAACGACTGGTTGATGTACACGCTGCCCTTGATGACGTTTTCGATCTTCTCGGGGGCCACGTACTCGCCCTGCGAGAGCTTGAAGATGTTTTTCTTGCGGTCGACAATCTTGAGCCGGCCGTCCAAAGTCCAGACGCCAATGTCGCCCGAGTGCAGCCAGCCGTCCTCGTCGAGCACTTCCTTGGTCATTTGCGGGTTCTTGAAGTAGCCTTGAAAGACGCTCGGTCCACGGTAGCAAATCTCGCCACGGCCGTTCACAGGGATCTGCTGGTCGTCGAGGCCGTGCACCGTGTCCGTCACATTGTACCTACATCCTATCGTCAGCACAGCTGGAACGGAGCGTTCGTCCGAGTCGCACCCCATGTCTGGCACCGAGACGAGCTTGATTTCAGCCGACGAGAGCGGCGCGCCGACGGTGCCGCCGGTAAAGTCGGCAATGTCGGTGACGTTGGAGGCGCCACAGCACTCGCTTTGGCCGTAGCCTTCAAAGATAGGCACGCCCAAAAGCACTTGGAAGAACGCCATGACGTCCTGCGACAATGGGGCCGACCCACAGAGCATGTAGCCAAGGCGGTCAAACCCAATCTTGGCCTTGATCTAGGCGATAGTAGTAGCTATGAGACATGAATCCAAAGCATCGATAGAAGGTACCTTGGAGAAGATGAGCGGGTCATAGATCGGGTGCGACGTGATGCCGAGCGGGAGGTTGGCGAGCTTGGCGTCCAACGCGCGCTGGAAGAGCCATGCCTTGACACCACCGGCCGCGAGGGCCCCGCCGACAATCTTGTCGTAAATCTTGTTGAGCAGCCGGGGCACCGAGGCGAACGCCGTCGGCCGTAGCGTCGTGAGGTCGTCCACAATGCGCAGCGGGTTGCCCTGGAAGAAACCAGCGCTGCCAGCGTACTGGACGACGGCCAGCTGCGCGAGCTGCTCAAACACGTGGGGCAGCGGCAGGTACGAAAAGTAGATCGGATGGTTGTTCATTGTCTCGAGCGCCTGCCCCTTGAGGATGCGCTCCTCGACGCCAATGGCCGCCGACAAGAGGTTGCCGTGCGTGAGCAGCACACCCTTCGGGTCGCCGGTCGTGCCGCTCGTGTACCTACATCATCTTCTTGGTCACTGACACAATCCGCTACGGTTCGTTCAGCCTACATGAGGACGGCCGTGTCGGACGTCACGAGGGGCGGCAGTCCGGGCAACGGATACGCAGCGCCAACGGCTTCAAGTCCCGCCATCGTCCAGAGCGTGAGTCCGACCGCCGACGCGGCGGCCACATCGTCAGGCGACAGCGACGTCGTGTCGCACAAAATCACGTGCAGAAGCGTGGCCACCTGCGGCTTGCGCGCGATCAGCGCCGGCAGCTCGTCGCGTGTGCACACGACCGACGGTACGAGCGTTTGGTTGAGAATGTACTCGGTCGAGTTGGCGCCGAGCGAGTCGTAGAGCGGGGCGATGAAGCCGTGCGTGTAAAAGGCAGCAAACTGCGCAATGACCCACTCGGGCCGGTTGCGCATGTAGATGCCGAGCATCTTGTGGCCGTCGGCCGTCGGCGCCACGAGGCCTTCGTGCGCGAGACCAGACGCAAAGTTCTGAACGCGGGCGTAGACCTAATAATTGCATGGTATGCATCGGTTGCGAGAGAGGCGGGACAAGAGGTAGTTATACCTGTTCGTACGACTGCCACTCGTACGGGCCTGCGTTGCCGTCGGCGTCGATCGGGCGGTGGCCGAGAAAGTTGAGCGTCGGGTGCTTTGCCGTCGTTTCGTGCAATTGCGCCAGCGTCGTGGGCACGTCGAGCTTGGGAAATTTGCCAACGCGGTATACGGGTCCATGGCCGGGCTTGGCCGTCGCCTCGTCGGGCTGCGAGTAAAAGGCCGGCGGCACAACGACGTCGCCGCGCGATGTCAAGTGCGTGTAGGCGAGGCCAGCGACGCCGAGGAGGACACTGCTCTGGAGGAGGAAGGAGCCGGCGCTGTCGGTCATGACGACGAACGAGATCTGAACCCGACGACGAGCGGCTCCTATTTCCGGCTTCAGTTGAAGCCGTTGTGCAACTGGTTCAAGGAACTGTCCACGGAGGTCGTGCCATGGCTGGCTTCTGATTGGTGTAAAACGGCGCAATGTCGCTTTTCTGGCCAATTAATGGCCGTTTGAGCCAGCTGGTGGTCATCGCCAACAGATTCGTGTTGACCAAAACTATTGAATGCACGTGTACTGGTACCGGTCCAGGAGTGCCGGTCACTGGGGACCGGTCGGTATATATGAACGTGTTTCGCGTTATCCTCGTTGTTACAAAGAGTTCGCATACGTAGAGACTAGCAATCTCTTTCTACTTGTGGGCTTGTCTTGTTTTATGTAGTCACTCTAAGGTACTTGCGGCCGCGGGTGAGCCCATGACGACAAGCTCCGTGTGAAGTCCTTCCAGGAGTCGCCGTCGACGGCAGAGCTAAGCAATTTGTCGGCGTCCTCGAGGCTCTCGCGAACTGAGACACCAGGGCTCGAATGTAGCAGCACATCAACCGCAACAACTTGGTACCGTTCTCGGTCACCCGCGAGTTTCTCCACACCACGTCGAGCCAATACCCCTAGGATTGCGCTGCGCCCAGAGCTCTTTACAATCGAGGAAGGCCTCGTGACGCCGTCGCTAAAGCTCAAGCGGCAAGCGGCCAAGAAGATCTTTGGCGACGTGCTTGATCGCCTCTACGTCGAGACCAAGGACACAGTTGCCGGCAAGCAAATCAAACAGCAGTAGATGTCTTGAAATATTGAAATGGCTGCAACAATGGCGGTTAAGACCGGCACACGAGCAGTGGCAAACCAGTGTCAGCTGACCAATTGGTTATAGTAAGAGCTTAAAATGTGAGAGCTTTGTGAGGGACGAGCACCGCCCCGAAGCTTTGTGTGTTTCCCGCTTCTCGGTTGCTGTAAAGAGCTCCGATTCTATGTCGATTCCAACTATTGGCAACACATTCTAACTATTGGCAACACTCATACACACAAACATTGTTTTGATTAACTTAACTACCCTATCCTACCGATATATATCAACTACAAGACTGCATAGTCGTCGCTGATCCAAGGGTCGTCCATGTCCATGTACGCTGGAGGCTGCGCTTCGTAGTTCGGATCCAAGTATGCGCAGGGCGCCACCTCCTCATGGACCATGTCTTCGTCATCGTCGCTGGTATCACCATACGCCATGCGGTCTTGCTCCAGGCTGATCAGGAGCTGGACGTTGTCCTCGAGTTTCGCCACTTGCTTGTCCTTGGCGTGATCCTTGGCGGCCATCGCGTGTATCTGTAGGTCCTTGGCTTCGCAGTCGGCGTGACTCATGCCGAGCTGCTCGTTGAGGATCATCTTCTGAGAGACCAAGGTGCGGTTGGTGGCGATGGAGGCGTCGTACAATGCTTGGAGCTGGTTGAGGGCGACGGTGGTCGTAGAGGCGTGCTGCTCGATGGCACTGCACTGCGCTTGCAGCTGCTGTACTTGGTCGTTCTTGAATGCGTTCGAGGCAGCCGTAGCGCTCTCGAGCTGCTTCTCGAGGATCTTGACGGTCTTCGTGAGCTCGGCGATCTGCTCGTCTTTGGCAGCCACGAGAATGTTATGGTCCAGCTGCTGCGCCTTGAGGTCCGCGTCAAGGCGACCGACCTCCGACTCCTGGACGGACTTGAGGTGGCAGATCGTGTCAAAGTGCTGCATGGAGCGGGCTTCGTAAAATTTGCGCTCCGTCGTCACCGTCGCGAGGCTCGTCTCAAGCTCGAGGATACGAGTTTGGCGGGCGTTGGACTCGGTCGTCACCGCCGCCAGTTGGGCTTCCAGCGCAGCGATGCGCGACTCCTGCTGCGCGGTGGCAGGCAATGATCGAGGCAATGGAGTTACTGGGACTGGACGCGTCTCGGTGGTCGGTCGCACGCGTGCAGGCGTGCGAGGTGTCGGTGCGGCGGCTTGGGGAGGCACCCGAGCTGTTGGTGGCGCTCCTTGGACGGCACGAGTTGGCACGGTCGGCCGGGCGCGGGTGCGCGGCGGCACCGTGGTGCGCGTCACGGGAGTCAATGTGGCCTTGGAGGCGACGTTGGCGGAGCTGTTCCAGCGGGGCTTGGTCATCGTTGTCATTGTTGTCGTCGGTTGTCTGCGAATTGGAGAATGAGCTCAAGATGACATGCTGGTTTCTGCTTGTAAAGGCGCATGGAGTTGCTTTTACAAGTTGCTTTTACAAGTAGAAGCGAATGAACTTTCTACATATTTGCTTCTACGCTGACAAAGGCGCAAGTTCATTCGCTTCTACTTGTAAAAGCAACTTGTAAAAAGCAACTTGCGCCTTTTGTGAGCGTAGAAGCGAATATGTAGAAAGCTCATTCGCTTCTACAAGTAAAAACAAGTTGTAAAAGCAAATCCATGCGCCTTCACAAGCAGAAAGCTGCAAGGCATCTCGAGCTCATTCTCCAATTTTGCAGACAACCGACGACAACAATGACAACGATGACCAAGCCCCGCTGGAACAGCTCCGCCAACGTCGCCTCCAAGGCCACATTGACTCCCGTGACGCGCACCACGGTGCCGCCGCGCACCCGCGCCCGGCCGATCGTGCCAACGCGTGCCGTCCAAGGAGCGCCACCAACAGCTCGGGTGCCTCCCCAAGCCGCCGCACCGACACCTCGCACGCCTGCACGCGTGCGACCGACCACCGAGACGCGTCCAGTCGTCCCAGCAACTCCATTGCCTCGATCATTGCCTGCCGCCGCGCAGCAGGAGTCGCGCATCGCTGCGCTGGAAGCCCAACTGGCGGCGGTGACGACCGAGTCCAACGCCCGCCAAACTCGTATCCTCGAGCTTGAGACGAGCCTCGCGACGGTGACGACCGAGCGCAAATTTTACGAAGCCCGCTCCACGCAGCACTTTGACACGATCTGCCACCTCAAGTCCGTCCAGGAGTCGGAGGTCGGTCGCCTTGGCGCGGACCTCAAGGCGCAGCAGCTGGACCACAACATTCTCGTGGCTGCCAAAGACGAGCAGATCGCCGAGCTCACGAAGACCGTCAAGATCCTCGAGAAGCAGCTCGAGAGCGCTACGGCTGCCTCGGACGCATCCAAAACGACTTGCAGCAGCTGCAAGCGCAGTGCACTGCCATCGAGCAGCACGCCTCTACGACCACCGTCGCCCTCGACCAGCTCCAAGCATTGTACGACGCCTCCATCGCCACCAACCGCACCTTGGTCTCTCAGAAGATGATCCTCAACGAGCAGCTCGGCATGAGTCACGCCGACTGCGAAGCGAAAGACCTACAGATACACGCGATGGCCGCCAAGGATCACGCCAAGGACAAGCAAGTGGCGAGACTCGAGGACAACGTCCAGCTCCTGATCAGCCTGGAGCAAGACCGCATGTCATATGGTGATGAAGACGACGAAGACATGGTCCATGAGGAGGTGGCGCCCTGCGCGTACTTGGATCCGAACTACGAAGCGCAGCCTCCAGCGTACATGGACAATTCTTGGATCAGCGACGACTATGCAGTCTTGTAGTTGAAATATATCGGTAGGATAGGGAAGTTGAGTTAATCAAAACAATGTTTGTGTGTATGTGTGTTTGAATCGACACAGAATCGGAGCTCTTTACGGCAACCGAGAAGCGGGAAACACACAAAGCTTCGGGGTGGCGCTCGTCCCTCACATTGTAAGCTCTCACTATAACCAATTGGTCAGCTGACACTGGTTTGTCACTGCTCGTGTGCCGGTCTCAACCGCCATTGTTGCAGCAATTTCAATATTTCAAGTCCTCTACTGCTGTTTGATTTGCTTGCCGGCAACCGTGTCCTTGGTCTCGACGTAGAGGCGATCAAGGACGTCGCCAAAGATCTTCTTGGCCGCTTGCCGCTTGAGCTTGAGCGACGGCGTCACGAGGCCTTCCTCGATTGTAAAGAGCTCTGGGCGCAGCGCAATCGCACGGAGCGTCTCGAAGCCCAGCAGCTGACTCGTCTTGCTAACTCGCTGGATGTCGGTCAGGACGTGCGCGATAATCTACAAAGCAGAAACCTAAGCATTCGCAAGAAGAATCTTGGTGGATCTCATACCTTGGGGTCGGCGCAGAGCTCCCTGTATGTGCCCGTGAGACGTAGCGAGCGCGAGAATTTCAGCTTCATCGGGCACGATGACCCCGACGACCGTCGCGTGGTAGCTGTCGCCATAGACGAACGACTGGTTCACAAAGACACTCGACGCAATGATGTTTTCGATCTTCTCGGGGGCGACGTACTCGCCCTGCGAGAGCTTGAAGATGTTTTTCTTGCGGTCGACGATCTTGAGCCGGCCGTCGAGGGTCCAGACGCCAATGTCGCCCGAGTGCAGCCAGCCATCCTCGTCGAGCACTTCTTTTGTCAATGCGGGGTTCTTAAAGTAGCCGCTGAAGACGGTCGCGCCACGGTAGCAGATCTCCCCGCGGCCCGCGACGTGCAAGTCGCCGTGGACGGTATCGGTCACATTGTACCCCATGTCGGGCACCGACACGAGCTTCATCTCGACGCACGCGAAGGGTGCGCCGACGTTGCCGGCGGAGAAATCCCGCGGATCCGACGCCGTCGCGCCGCCCGTGCACTCGGTTTGGCCGTAGCCTTCGACGACCGGGCAGTCGAGCAGCACGCGGTAGAAGGACGCCACGTCCGACGAGAGCGGCGCCGAGCCCGTAATGACAAACCGAACACGGTCCAGGCCGAGCTTGGCGCGAATCTATCAATGTATCAATCCAACATAATGTGCTCCATCTCAAACCTCCGAACCTTTTCAAAGATGAGGCGGTCGTAGAGCCAATGCGACGTGATGCCGCGCTCGAGGTTCGCGAGCTTGGTCGCGAGCGCGGTCGCAAAGAGCCAGCCCTTGAGGCCGCCTGCGCTGAGGCCGGCGCCAACGACCTTGTCGTACACGCGGTTGAGGAGGCGCGGGACACTGGCGAAGATGGTCGGGCGCAACGCGATGAGGTCGTCAATGAGCTTGAGCGGGTCGCCTTGGTAGAACCCGAGGGACCCGCCGTGGCGCAGCGTGAGTGTCTTGGCGAGCTGCTCGGCAATGTGCGCCAGCGGCAGGTACGAGAGATGTATCGGGTGGTCTTCCAGCGCGGCTTTGGACTTGCGGTACTTGATGCGCGCGTCGCTCGAGCACGAGCACAAGAGGATGTTGGCGTGCGTGAGCGGCACGCCCTTCGGATCGCCGGTCGTGCCGCTCGTGTACCTAGAGCCGATGCGATGAGGACCAATTTCGTTGAGAAGACATGGCAGCACACATGAGGATGGCCATATCGCTGGCGGCGAGCGGGGCGCGCGGCGCAGGGTGAGCGGCGCCAATGGCTTCGATCGCGGCCATCGATGTCAGGTGCACGCCGGCAGCACGCGCGCTGGCCTCGTCGTCGGGCGTCACGTCGCCACTGAGGATCACCGTCGTCAGCGACGGCACGGACGACCGGACGCGGAGGAGGGCCGGGAGCTCGTTGCGGGAGCACACGACCGTGCTCGCGTGCGTGTGCTGGAGGATGAACGCCGTCGAGGACGCCCCGAGCGTGTCATAGAGCGGCACGACGGTCGCGCCGCCGTAGAAGGCGCCGTACTCGGCGACGATCCAGTTGGGGCAGTTCTTCATGTAGACGCAGAGCACGCGAAGGCCGTCGGGCGTCGGCGCGAGGAGCTGCTCGTGCAAGAGGCCGGACGCAAACGCTTGGACGCGCGCATAGACCGTCGCGTACGAGGCCCACACGTACGCGCCGGCCTCGCCGTTGGCGTCAAGCGGTCGGTGGCCGAGGAAGTTGGCATCCGGATACTTGGCCACTTGGGCGTCAAGGACGGCGAGCATCGTCTCGTACGGCGCCGAGACGCTCAGTGGGGTGGCCGTGCGGTAGATCGGGCCGCTGCCGGGCGTCGCCGAGGCCTCGTCTGGCGCGCTAAAGACGTCGGGGCGGGTCGTGACCTCGGGCGACGGCAGCAACGCGTTGAGCGCGAGCGCGCCGAGGCCGACGGCCGCTGCCGACGCCACGAGCGTCGTCGTCGTCGTCGTTGTCACCATCGTCGAGTTGTGTTGCAAGTCGACTTGTGCGGAATCAGCCAAGGCATGACCAGATTGCCATATGGCTTTCGACCGTTGACACGCCAAGCCACGGTCCAGTGGCCACGGAGCTGGACCGGTACCGGTTCTGTCGCTTGGGCCAGTCAATGGTAGCGTCACGCAGGCAACCGAGTGACGCCACCCGTGTCTAGCGCCAGCCCATCCATGGCGCCTCGGACGTCGACATGGATACGTTTGGTAGAAAAATTAGATAGATTAATGGAATGCACAGTTAGTGCTGCTTGACGTTCTTGCCCGCGACCACGTCGCCGCTCTTCTCGTAGAGCGCGTCAATCTGCGTCATAAAGGCCTTCTTGACGTCGTTGCGCTTGAGCTTGAACGTCGGCGTCAAGAGGTCGTTCTCGACCGTGAAGCGGTCGGGGTGCAAGTGGATCGCGCGGACCGTCTCAAAGCCGTTGAGGCCGGCCTTCTTGCCGGTCGCGGCCATGTCCTTCTGCACGGCAGCGACAAGCGTCGGGTTGGCGCAGAGCTCGGCAAAGGTGCCAGTGACGCCGAGCGAGGCCGCGAGCGTCTCGAGCTCGCGCTTGTCGGGCACGACGATGCCCACAAGCATCGAGTGGAGCGAGTCGCCGTAGGCAAACATCTGCTCCACGTACGGGTTGACCTTGAGGATGTTTTCAATCTTCTCGGGGGCCACGTACTCGCCCTGCGACAGCTTGAAGATGTTCTTCTTGCGGTCGACAATCTTGAGCCGGCCGTCGAGCGTCCAGACGCCAATGTCGCCCGAGTGCAGCCAGCCCTCCTCGTCAATGGCCTCCTTGGTCTTCTCCGGGTCGTTAAAGTAGCCCGTAAAGATGGTCGGGCCGCGGTAGCAAATCTCACCGCGGCCGTTGACCGGCATCTGCTCGTCGCCGTGCACCGTGTCCGTCACTTCGTAGCCCATGTCGGGCACGGAAACGAGCTTCATCTCGCACGACGGCAGCGGCGGCCCGACCGTGCCCGTCGAGAGATCAAACACATCGGTGATGTTGACCGCGCCGCAGCATTCCGACTGGCCGTAGCCTTCGACGACGGGGCAGTCAAGCACGATGCGGAAGAACGCCATCACGTCGTCGGCGAGCGGCGCCGAGCCCGTAATGACGGCGCAGCAGCGGTCGAGGCCGAGCTTGGCTTGGATCTTGGAGAAGACGAGCTTGTCGTAGAGCGGGTGCGACGTGTAGCCGCGCTTCATGTTGGCGAGCTTCGTGTGCATCGCACGCTCAAAGAGGCGCGCCTTCATGCCGCCGGCCGCGCGGGCGCCGCCGACGATCGTGTCGTAAATCTTGTTGAGCATGCGAGGGACGGTGATAAAGACGGTCGGCCGCAAGGTGCAGAGGTCGTCCGGGATCTTGGCCGTGTGGCCCTGGGCGAAGCCGATCGCACCGCCCTTGGAGATCACGATCGAGTGCACGAGCTGCTCGAGAATGTGGGGCAGCGGCAAGTACGAGAGGTGCAGCGCCTCGTTGTTGAACGTATTCGCCGCCTTGCCCTTGCGCAGATGCATCTCGACGCCCAACGCGCACGTGAGGAGGTTCTTGTGGCTGATGCACACGCCCTTCGGGTCGCCCGTCGTGCCGCTCGTGTACATGAGAAAGCACGTGTCGTCCGTGTTGATAGGGGCCATGGCCACGAGGTGCTGCGCGCCGAGGGCCTCGAGCTCGGCCATCGTCCAGAGCTTGATGCCGACGGCCGCGGCCGCCGCCACGTCCGCCGGCGCCGCCGTCGCCACGTCGCAGAGCACAATGTGGGCCATCTTGGGGCACGCCGCCTTGATCTCGAGCACGTGCTTGAGCTCGGCGGTCGTGCAAACCACGGTCGGCGCCTCGGTTTGGTTTAGGATGAACTTGGCCGACGACGCGCCGAGCGTGTCGTAGAGGCACGAGATGCAGCCGCCCGCGTAGAGCGCCGCGTACTGTGCAATGAGCCACTCGGGACGGTTGCGCATGTAGATGCACAGCATCTTCTGGCCGCTTGCGCCCGCAGGCATCATGTTTTCATGCACGAGCGCCGACGCAAAGGCCTGGATGCGGCTGTAGCCCTTGGCGTACGAGTCCCACACGAACGGACCCGCCTTCCCGGCGGCGTCGAGCTCGCGGTGGCCGATAAAGTTGACGTCCGGGTGCTCGGCCGCCGTGTTGGCGAGGTTCTCAATCATCGTCGAGAAGGCCGGCGTCGGGTACTTGTCGCTGACGCGGTAGACGGCGCCATGGCCCGGGCGCAGCGCACTGTTGTCCGGCGACGCGTAGCAGTCGGGGGCTGTGATGCGGTTGCCGGGCTTGAGGCAGAGGAGGTAGATGGCGCTGAGCACGCTGGCGGCGATCGTGCTCGAGATCACGGCCGCTGTCGAGAGCGCGACGGGCGACAGCATGTTGCAAGGAGGTGGGGGGCGCCGAGGCAAATGGGAAATGGCCAACGTCTCGCGACCTTTCCCTGGATGCCCACGGCGTGTCGCAACCATACCATCATCATCGTCATCATCCGCATCAATGGAGCGTTTGTATGCGACACGAAAAAATGCAGCGTATCATCTACACTGCGACAGGAACTTGCCGGCTTCGAACGGATCGGATCGTTGCCAGACTGGCGCCGCCTGCCAGACTGGCGCCGCCTCCCGGGCAACGGCGCGATGCACTTGCCGGAGCCTGCGACGGTGCAGAGAATACCAGGGGTCACTATAGAGCGTCGAGAGAGGGCGCCCAACGGGATCCAGCCAGCAACCGATCCAAGGGCGTTGAAAAATCTGCAGGATCCATCTCGCATCGGATTGGCTGCGACCCAAGTTGAAGCGCGTGTCGAGTCGACCAAGCGTGGCCCTACGCTGCTGCATCAACGCCAGCTGCGCGCAAGATAACGTTGGGCCACCCAGGTGATCATCATCGCGACAGGACACGGTCGTTGGATCACGAAATGGCGTGATTCCAGCATCCTTCAAGGCGTCTCGAGGCGGCAAGAGACGGACAGGCAAGAGGCAACCGCACGACTGCATATCCGGCACTTGGCTCGTCGCGCTGTGGTGCCATCTCTTGCCGCGTCGCTGGTCGCTCTACGCGAAGACCCTTGGTGTGCACGCTACCTAGTCCCTCGCACAATCTCGCATCACGACCACTAACGCTCCTCGCTGACGCACCTGCCACGCCTCACGAGCGCATTAGGAAGTCCACCATTTCTTCATAATTGCATGTAATATAACTCAGTTCAACAACAGGCAAGAGGCAAGCAGCGACGTTCAACGCTACCAAAGGACACGTCGCCGCCGCTTCATCTCTTGCACATTACACATTCGAGTAGCTACCGACAAAGGCGACGGCCACAGAGTGTGTAGCCGGGCTGGAACCGATCGACGGGGTTGGTGCGCACGAGGCAGACAAAGAGGAGGCCGCTGAGCGCGACCGCGTGGACCCAGTGCACGTTGGCGACATAGGCGTCGAGTTCGGACGTGTGTTTCCAGGCGCTAAAGCAGCGCGTAAAGACGTAGCCGCCGACGAGCCCGACGAGCGACGACCCGGTGAGAAGGATGCCGAACATCGTGCCCGTGTTGTAGACACCGTACAAGTCGGTGCAGAGCGAGGGCAAGGTGCCGGTGGCGCCGCCAAGGACCACGGCGAGGCCCCACACCATCGCGGCAAACGTCTCGACGTCTCTTTCTCGCAGCGCATTGGGGAGGAGGCCGAGCACGATGCTTTGCACACCAAGTGCGACGCCAAAGACGAGCTTGCGGCCAAAGGGCGGGTTGAGATTCGCGCAGTGGATCAGCACGTCCGACGCGATCGGCAAGAGCAGCCGGCCGAGGAAATTGCAAATCGCGGCGACGAGCAAAAAGTTGAGTGCGTCCGACTCGGTCTCGCTCGTGGCGAGCAGCATGTAGAGGTCGTAGAAGTGGGGCAGGTAGACAATGCCAAACACAAACGTCGCCATGTACGTCGCGTACAAGAACACAAAGTCGGCCGACAGGACGCACGTGCGCAGACTCTGGTGCTGGATGCGGTCGTGGTAGACGCGCTCGGTCGTGTCGAGCTCGGGCCATCGGTCGTCGTGGGCCTTGGCGAAGTCTACGAGGCTCAGCGAGTCCCCCGCGAACGCCTCGACGCCGTGCATATCGAGCCCGTGGACGCGGTAGGCCGGTGGCGGTGTTCGCAGCACGATGGCGCAGACGAGCAGCAGCAGCGTCATGCTGACACCGCCAACGACAAACACGTGCAATAGACCCAAGTCGCGCAGGAGGAGCTGGTACACGCCGCCCCAGACGACGCCGCTCGCGCCAAATCCGCACAGCGCAAAGCCCGCGGCCGTGCCACGGAGATCCGGGAACCACTTTTGCAGCGGCGCAATCGGCGTGACGTAGTTGATGCCGACGCCCGAGCCGTACAAGAGGCCGTAGCCGTACAAGAGAGCATGGCTCTGCGTCGCGACGGCGAGGACGGCGCTGACGTGCCCCGCGCGATCAGTGCTGCGCCGAGACACATGGCTGCGCGGGGTCCGTGGCGCTCGACAAACGGTCCGGCGACAGCAGCGGCGACACCGACACACGCGTACGCGACGTAATAGGGCAGCGACACGGCCTCGTCGGTCGCGCCAAGACGCGCCGAGAGCGGCTTGATGAGGAGACTGTACGCGTAGAGCGATCCGCAGCAGATTTGCGAGACAAAGGCGGCAAGGAAGAGCATCCAGCGATGGAAGCGGAGGCACGTCGCGCGATAGTAGACATCCGGCCCGATGCCAATGTACACCGCGTACGTCTCGGCGTCGATTTGGGCGGCCGACTTGGTCGGCTCGACCACGCGCCAATACGCCTGCAGTCGTCGCATCCGGCAAGAAAAAGTGGCGCGCCGTCCTCGCGGAAGAGACACGGTCGACAGCCTCGTCACCTCCTCGTTGTCGCGCTGTATAGACCAACCCAGTGAAAGCGGAACCAGACTCAGGCGCGGTAAATCCCACGGTGTCTCTTCCGCACACGCATATGTGTTGCTCGCACGTTCGACGAACAGCGACAGGCTACGATCACGCGTCGATGATATGCAGCATCTTGTTGTTGTTGCTGCTGCTGCTGTTGTAGTCTACTGGTCGTGGCCACCGCCAAAGGCGACGGGGGCACCGGGCACCTTGGTCGAGAGGAGCGCCATGGCCTTGAAGATGGAGCCCATTTGATCGGGGTGCACGAGGCGCTCGTACGCTTGGTAGATGGCTTCCTGCGTCTCCTCTACGGACAAGATGAGATACAATGGAACGCCTCGACGCGCGCACCGGAGCAGCCCTGGAAGAGCGCGGCCATGCGGTGCTCGATGCCCATTTCCTTGAGAAAAAGGCCTTGCTCGATGGGCCCAAAGGCCTTGACGTCGCCCGTTGCGGTCGCGAATCGCTTGAGCGTCGAAAAGTCCACGTCAATACTCTACTGCGTATGAGACGACGCTCTTGTTTTCACACACGCACCAAATCGACGTCACCAGGTTCTCGCAGCACGCTCACAAACTCGTGGTGCTGGATGCCGCGGAGACTCACTTCGGACGGGTGGTCGCGGCCATAGTCCACGATGAGCGCCGCTGCGTTTACATGAATAAACATCGAATATGAGACGACACCTACCGCCGCCGTCCTGCGCGATCCGAGCCGCCACGTCTTGCACGAGCGCGATACCCGTGGGCGAGATCTCGAGACGGTCGCCGACAGCGACGCCGGGCGACATGATGGGCGCATCGGGTTGCGTCGTCTTGGCATCTTCCGGCAGCGTGTGCTCCTTCAGCTGCGTTTGCTGGAGCACGGCGGCCGCGTTGATGTTCTTGAGGATATCTTGCGGCGCTACATCGCTGCGTGAGAAAAACGTGCTAGAAGGACTGGGACGCGGACTCGTCGACGTGTCGGTGGCGAGGTGCTGGATGACGTTGGTCGCCGGGTTGAAGATCTTCTCCTTGCCAATGTAGACGCGCGTCGCGGGCGTCGGGCCCGGCGACAGCACAAAGCAAAAGTGGTCGTCGCCACCCGACGTGTCAATGTCCACAAGGCGCTCGCACCAGCCCCTACACACGGTCTTGATACCTTGATACGAGACATGGGCGATCGTCTACTTGGCCGTGTACTCAAACTGGTGCACGGGCAGCGCATCGAACAGTTCCTACAGCGGAATGAGCCATATGAACAAGCTAGACAATACACCTACTTGAGCAATGAAGAGGCTCGGGACACCCTTGGGCATCTCGGACACGTCTTCGTACCACGCAATCGTCGGGCCTTGGTCGGGCAGCGTGCCTTCACGGCCGTTCTCGGCGACCGCGACGAGGAGCTTTTCCTGCTGGATCTTGCGCAGGGCTACTCGATGGAATGAGGCACAAACAGAGCTCCAAGGATGCGGCACCAGGGCTGATTTCGACCATGTGAATCCGAAGCGCGTTGTAGAAGGCAGGAAACTGCTTGGCCGTCCGGACAAAGTCTTGCATGAGGCTGCCGCGACCAGGCCTACGAGACGATTCGACCTACAAGATGCCGTCGATCCATGAGGACAAGTACCCCATCTCGACGATGTTGACGGGGTTGGGCATGCCCATCTGCTGCCACGTCGCGATGCACCAAATGCCAATGAGCTCGCCAAACATTTGGCTGATCTCGGGCGCCGTCGTAAAGTCGCCCTTCTTCCCAAAGACGTCGCGCTTCATGTAGTACCCGTGGAGCGGATGGCTCAGCGCCTACACGATGCACCGATGATGGGGGCAGTCGACGGAGACGAGGTACGTGGCGCATGAACTCGGCGACCGTGATGGGCCCGCGCACTTCGATCATCGAGCGCAGAAAGCCCACGAGTTCGTTCTCCTTGGACTTCTTCTTCTTGGCATTGATCGCTTGCATGTGCGGGTTGTCCTTGAGGAGCGCGTTGGCAATGCCGGGCTGGAGCAAGCCGGAGCGGTCGACCTGGATCGAGCGCTCCTGCCAGCGCGACGAGGCCGCCTCCTTCTTCTTCGTGCTCAGAGGCCGCGCAAGGGCGGCAGAGATGGCAGGGCGATGGACGCGCGCGCGCTGGAGTCGGGCCAGCATCTTGTTCACGCCACCGGTTTTTCTCAATTACCTGGTTTGGCTAATAAAACGCACCTTTACCGTACTAAACCCTGCACTACAGGGCGATGGCCCGACCTGGCATGCGCATGCAGAGCCAAGTAGATTGCATTGCGTGCTTCTTCTCACAAGGGATGAAAGTGTCGTAGCGTGTTGTCGCCGAGGATGCCATCGACCTCGCGGTGCCTATCGAGCAATAGACAATGCTTTTTAATTAGCTTGCCATTTAAATTCAATTTAACCGGATGGGAACCGCGATCTTCGCAGCATATCCGAACGACATGAGCAGCGAGAAGAAGCGGACCAAGGCCGACGCGGTCTCCATGTGGCAGATACGGCCTACCGCCGCATGCATGTGCAGGCGAACGATGCTTGAGATAGCGCTACCAAGCAGCGCTACTGAAGCGTCCGCTCCAGTACGCCTGCCCATGCGCATTGGCAGCAAGCGAACCATCTGCGTAGGACCAAGGCGATCACGTCCGCTGTGATGGGCGCCTCTGGCGAAATCGTTGGTACTCTTTATATGCCATCGCTATGCCTCACGCAGTGCACTAGCGCATGGCCTCAAGTACAAGTCCCTTCAAGTACGCCATCTCGCTTCCTTCCAAAGCGCCACGACCACCCCGCGTAGGGCCTTTCGCTCCAGCGTGTCTTGGTCTTTGCGCTTTACAGGTATAACGATGCGACTGTGCAGGTAGACGTACGCAAGGTATCTAGCGGCGGGATCACGGCGCCAGTCATGCACGCGTGGTATGGCTTTCTCGAGCAATGCCGAGTCCGCGGCGACCGCCTGGTAGTTCAACATCGCCGTCACATCCTCGTCTTCATCTCGCCTCTTGTCTCCTAGTCGAACAACGGCAAGCTCTTGCTGGACCGTCTCCTTCTCACGCCCCCTTTCTTGGCCTTGACGCTCTTCGCGGTACATGACGTTTATACCACTAATAGTGGCACACTGTGCGATCTAGTTGTCTCTCTTGACGGGCGCGTCCGTCGCAGCGTCCAAGGCGCTCGTGCGCTCCAAGTACGTCACAGCGCTCTGGATGAACTGGAAGGTGCGTTTTTGGCGGCGTCTCGTTCTCCGCACAACCTTGCGATTCAGGTCTGGACGCTGACCCAGTACCTCTCGTTCAACTACGTCCCGCCGCATTTGCGTGTTCTCTGGGGTGCATCCTCCTACTCCATACATGGCTCCTTACGATGCGTAGGCAACGCTGTCGCCTATCTCTCCTTATCGTCCTAGACGAGGCATCAAACGTGCGGGCGGTCGATCAATCCAAAAAAGTCGTAAAAATCGAGGCAAATTCGTTGAAAATCAAGGGTCTTTGCTACTTGGTCGCCGCTTTGATAAGCGCCCGCGTCGTCACGACGCCTTGGAGCTTCCCGAGCGCCGTGACGTAGCAGTGGTCCATGCGCAACATCGTAAAGAGCATGTGCACATCTTCCAACGTCGTCTCGGCGACCAGCGTCATGGCCAGCGGTCGAATCACGCACTCGGCCGCGACATCGACCTCGGTGGCGAGCACGTCGAGCTTCTCCGCCGGCCACTCGTGGCTTAGGAGCGCAATCATCTTCTCGTCGTTCATGAGCATCGCAGGGTGCACCGGGTACAGCCCGTCGCCGCGGAGAAGACTGGCCGCAGACGACGAGGGCCGGCGATGCAGCGTCGTGTAAATGTGGTCGAGCGTCGGCGCCGTGCGCCCCGACAGCAAACGCGGATGGGACCACACGCCGCCGCCTTTCTGCACCGAGTGGCGCGCCGTGTCGTAGTCGTCGTCACTGCCGCTGTCGCCCCAGTCGCGCTCGCAGCCCACAAGGCCGCGCGCGTCGTAGAAGCGGCGCACGAGCAGCTGGAGGTCGCTCTTGCTGACGACGCCAAGGAGCTTGTGCTCGGCGTCCACGACCGGGATCTCGTGGCTCGGCAGCCGGTTGAGCGCGAGCAAAAGCTGCAGCACGGACGACGTGCTCGAGACGTACACGACGCGCTCGTGCAAAATGTCCGCCACGGTCTCGTGCCGCTGAAACTCCATGAGGGGGAGGTAAGGCAAGGCGTTGGCCTCGACAAGGATGTCGTAAATGGACGGCCAGCCGCCGAGGTTCGAGGTGCCGATGGCCGCCAAGACGCCGGCAAGCACGGGCAGGAGCGCGTCAAAGTTGCCAGTGAGCTCGAGCGCGATCACCGCCGCCGAGACCGTGCGCGTCGAGGCACCCGTGAGGCCCGCCGCGCCGACGAGGGCAAAGCCATGACGACGGAGCGTCATATGCGACGGGAAGAGCGACGCGGCGGCGATGCCAAAGAGCCGTCCACAGGCCGCGCCACCGACAAAGGTCGGGAGCCACACACCCGTGGGGAACTTGAGCGTAATCGAGAGCGGGAGGAGGAAAAGCGGAATGGCACCCGTGGCAGCGACACCGGGAAGCGACCCAAGGTCGCCTGGTGAGAGCAGCTGGGAGAGCGAGAGGAGTGCGTGGTTGCGGGTCACGATGTATGTGCTCGACGCGGTGACAAGACCAACGAGGAGTGGATCGAGCCATTGGACAAAGAAGCGAACGTGGCGAAGTGGTGACGCGCCCCACTGACGTCGCCGGAAGGCAAGCCACTGCGTGGCGCACTGTAAAACGGAGCTGAGGACACCCATGCCCACACCTACACATGCCGTGAGCAGAGGTCGAATCGTGCTTTTCCGAACCAAGAAGAATCGCAAGTGGTAAATCCAAAAGCGATGGCTCCGCTTGAGATGCCCGTGTCGCAGAAACCGCGAGTCCTTCGACCCTGGCCAAGGCGCGGTTCATCCACAGCACCATGGCCGCCGCGGCGACGGACGACACAAAGGCCTTGAGGTAGTTGGAGATGAGGTAGTACGTCGCCGTGACCTCAATCGAGAAGAGCACGCCGCCGATGGGCGACCCAAATGCAGACGAGACGGCAACGGCCGCTGACGCAGCGAGAAGCTGGAGGCGCACCGAGAGGCGGTCTTGGAGAGAGGCAAAGGGCCGGAGCTGGAGCAACGCTGTCGCGACGATCGCCATGATGTGCACGAAAGCGCCCTCGGTTCCGATCTGCAAGCCTGCGCCATTGGCAGCGATCAAGCCGCCCAGCTTGGCGCACAGCGTTCGAAGCGAAAAGTACCCCGGAAGGTACAGCGTCGGGTCGATGCCCGTCAGCACCGTTTTCATTTGGGCGATTCCCGAGCCTACGCGGTCACACTCGGTGTTGAGGAAACGATTTGTAGGTGCCTACCAGCCGCCGAGGGCGAGAGTCGCGTCAAGACCACAGCGGTGATGAGAAACACGAGTGTGTAAAGTGTCCAGAGACCATACGCAGCGATCGAGGTGACTTGGTCCATCGCAGTCGCGCGCACGCGCAAGAGCACATCAATTAGCCTAGAGCGCTAGGTGAGTACAATCTAGAGCCGCTCACAGTACCAAGCGCAGAGCACGTGGAGGGCACCACCGACGAAGCCCAAGAGGAGGAGGAAGGCGGCGACGCACCAGCGGTCCGACTGCGCCGGCGCCAACGCCGCGTCGACGTCGTCGTCGGCGGCGACGGTGACGACCGACTCGAAGCGCGTCCGAGGGCTCTGCGCCGACGTGCTGCCACCAGACTCTGCCAGCACACGCTCCGTGAACTCGTGCAGATTCAATCGCCGTTCGGCCTCGGCTCGCATTGTGATTGTGAGACGTTTCGGTGCGGTGTCTCTATCCGGATCCGGATAATCAAGTAACTGTCGCAGCGGCGTATAACATGGTCAGGCTGGTGGACGTTTCGGTGTAGACCAAACGTGCGGCTGGGGGCGACCGTGTCGATATTGCCACACGGGCCTGATCAAATACTAGTAGTCGTTTGGCGCTGATATCATTCGCCTGGACAGCCACCGTCGCGCCATGGCCGTCGGAACGATACTAATAACCCCCGTGGCGCAGATCGACCGACCCTAAACGGACTCGACCAAGATTCATTTGAAAAGATATCCCACCAAACCATCTGGAGAGGTACGATACGCCTCCATTCGTCAAGCGTGTGGCCAACCTCTCCGAAGAGTGAGATGTTGCAATGACGTTCTAGACATTTCTCGTACTAGATGGCTAGGAGGTACCGACGTCGAGATTTCAATAAATAGTCGACTCGTGTGTTACTGGTTTAATGATGGCACGACGGCCGAAATATACACAAAGTCGCTAGCCGACGGCGCTTGCGGCTTGACGAGCGCAATGAACTTCATGGAGCCTTGGTGCTGCACCCGCATCGACTTGCGTGGCTTCTTCTCCATCTTTGTTGGCGACGGGGGCTGGTTTTCCCGCGGCGTCGCGCCGCTGCCTTTGGCGCTCAGCGAGAGCGGCGTCAAGTGCACGGGATCGTGCGATCCTCTTGGTTGGCTCTTCTCTGGCGCGTGTGCAACCTTGGGGAGACTCGGAGTCGTCGTACTCGAAATGGCCTCCAACGTCTTTGCATGCCGTCCTGGGTTGCCAATATGCAGCGCATCGACGAGCTCTTCCTTTCGGACGCGAAACTTGCGCACGATCGGGTCTGGCACAAGGCGTTGCACCAGCTTGGATCGTGGCGTCACAGGCTGCGGTTCAACGAGCTGCGACTCTTTGGGTGGCGACTCGATTGCAGGGAGCGCCTTGGACACAGTCGCTGGTGGCGTCGCCGTCAGCGATGGCTTTGGCGGCGAATGGGTCATTGGTGGGAGCCGTCCGATGGTTTGGCCCTGGAGGCTCTCGACGACAGAACCTGCCGACTCGGTGTTGTTGTGCCACTGCTGGCGCACAGCCGCCAGCAGCGCTGTGAGCTTGATCTTGTCCTCGACGCTAACCGTCGAGCTACGGCGGCGCTCGCTACACGTACCGGTTGCATTGGACGACACTTGTACGCAGAGGTCGTCTTCGAGAGCAGCACTGTTCTCGTCACGCGGGCCCGGTGCCGCATGGACGAGGGCGCTGGGAAGCGCCTCTGCACTGCTATTGTCACAGGTCTCTTCCACGGCGCCAAATGTATCTTGGGCCAAGGCGTGAACCTTCTCGACGTGGGCTTCATGCATTTTGCGCACAATCTGACGCCCATAGACGCGCTCGGCCTTGGGCGACAATGCAAACGGTCCTGGGAACGACGGCGGCGTCAAGGGCCGCGTCAATGACGCACGATTCTGGACGTTGAAGGCCTTGGCGATCGCTTCGTCGCGCCTAAGGTCTCTCTCGTTTCGCCCGAGCGCGTCATTCTTGACATCCATTGCGTCATCATCGTCTTTGGGGATTTGGCGCGACACGGTCACAGTCAACAACGGGTTATTCTGGCCAGCGTCGTCGCGGGCCGACATGATGGAAAAGCCGCCAAAGTCACGGCCTACCCACATGCGTGCACCCGCGACGTCAAGTCCGTTACGACGTACGCACGAGTGGCACCGACTCGACGGTTGCAACGATCGTCGATCGGCGTCGAACGAGAGGCGCCGCATCGACACGCTTCTCTGGCTCGTCGTTGATTGTCATTGCGGTGTCGACGTCCATCATGCGCTCCTGGGACCAGCCATGATTGGAGATCCTTTGGCGACAAAGCGATACGCACGTCGCTCTTCGCAAGCATCGGCGGAGGATCGGCCTGTAAAACACGCGCTTCTTTCGTGTCGTTTGGAGGTGACGCTGGTTTTGTCACGACCAACGGCGTCGGTCTTTCCATCGGAAGTTGCGGTGTCTCGGCCACAGTCTCTGCGGTGAGCGCTGCTGCAACTGGGGTTTTCGGTCGTACTTCCGGTGCTGTCACCGTTTTGGGGGTCGCACGCTGCGGCTTCTCCGCCTTAATTGCCTTCCCTTCGTCCTTCTGGCGCGGCAACGGCTCTAAGAAATCACGTTAGAGATACGCGGAACGTGCGTAGAGTACCGCGGGGTGGGGGCGACTCGACACGGACCACGGATGCAACCGGTACTGCCGGCGCTACCTGGTGCGTTTGACTGGAAGGTTGGACAGGTCCTGCGAGGCACCATGAGATGCCCAGAGCACTTGAGCTAAAGTCAACGAGGTGTGGGGCCAATCTGGCGCAGGTCGTTGAGTGCAAGCTCTATGTCAGCCATGGACGCGCGCTGGTCATCTTCCGTGACGTCCACGTAGACCACATCTGTGCAACCCCGTTACTATGTCTCGAGACCAGCGTTCGAACTAGAGTACCTTGGATTTCCCGGAAGAAAAGGTGGTGGTCTTCGACGTTGGTGATGCCCGTGAGGATGAAGTAGAGCAGCGAGACGTACTAGATGCCACACAAAAGTTCCTCGTAGAAACAAACGTCAACTTGGACGTACATCGTCCACTTTCACCGAGTCGCACCAGAGATCTAGAGGTCGTTTTTTGCGTTGACACAGTAGATTCGGTGGTGACGAACCCACGAGCTCGTACAGCGAGAGGTGAAATGCGTCGTACGTAAGGATATTGGTACCGCTTGTATCGCTCACCCAGTCGTCCTGCGCAGGATCCAGCGACCTCTTGATCAAACGAGTGTACCTCGATCGAATGCAACGTCATTTGCACGTCAAAGTGTTCGTTGAGGATCTTGTGCACGCGCATCATGAGGTCGCTATAGTCTCCAAATGTCATGGTCGTCTCGGCGCCGACGTTGGTGAGGCTCCAAAATGTTCGCGTGAGACGCAAGAGGAGAGGGTCTCCGCGCAGCGCCAGGCGTTGTTGGAGGCTTTCCTAATGGCGCAGCTGTGAAATGGCAATACCTAAAACGTGGCGCACCTCCGAGTAGTAGGCCAGGTCGCCTTGCTTGTCGTACGACGCGGGGGACTCCATGTCGACTTCGACCATGCTAAAACATGTATGAGTGCGGATCTGGCCGCCGAGCGTACGTACCCTTCCGTCACGAGACGCAGCGCGTCTCGTCGCACCGTGAGGAGGTGGGCTCTGTCGACTTCTTTCATCGAGCTAAGTCGTCGCGTCGCATCATTGTGCAGCTGGCCGCGCCTTGCATCGCTTGAGGTGGCGGATGTCTCGTGCTTGCGGGGTAAGTTCATGCTCCATGGCCCAAGTTTACGACTCCCTGCCAAAAATGGCTTTTCTACAGCGTTACGCTGAAACTGGTGAGTGAAGCTTCTGGGAATTTTCATCGATGCAGTCCAAGTTGCCAGACAAGGCCAAGAGAATGGAATACAACGTTCGGACGTGTGGCGTGTCGAGCTTCCAATGCACTTGGTCCTTCGCGAGCGGGCGGCGGATGCGAGGTTGGCACCGACATGTAAGCTCACGACAATGCATCGCAGACTTTTGTGCAAAGAGAAAGAGCTGGGCCACTCGTTGTTGGGTAACTCCTGGGAGCAAATTGCCAGCAGCTGACCGGGAGCGATGGGGGATGACGTGAACTTGAGCGTGGAGTTGATACTTGGTTGATATGAACAGCGTATCCGGTGCGGGTAACCGGACACACTCCACAGACTAGCCATTCGCAACGCAGGTCTTCTCGCATGCGTGACCTCCTTGGCATCACACAGCTCTCGCCGGCAAATGCCCAAAGGTAAGGGCTGTGTTATATTGGTAGCTTGATTATGCCTGCTCCTATCTACGCAGCACAGATTTGGATATGATACCAAGACGGGGGGGTGCCTGAACGATTGTCGGGGGTGGGGGGCGGCGGCTTCATCGGGGACGCAGCCTTCTTCGGTGTCGTTTTCACAACCACTTTGATACTGGACTGCGCCACACCCGTGACTTTGAAGACGTCGTGCATGCCTTTGGTAGGCTGTCTTACGAGGACTTGTAAAGTCGAGTCGGCGGCCACCGCAAAAGCCGGCTTGGCCGTCGGACTGCCAAGCGCCGTCACGCGGAAGAGCATTTCAGACTTGTTGCTGCCATCCTCCATGCGCGTGGATGGTGCCGGCGTCCCGTTGGAGAGCACGGGGCTCGGTCGGCCCGAGCGCTGAAGCCCCGCTGTATGCGATTCCACCGCTCCATTGAATGGCGTGTGCGATGCCGCTGGTAGTGGCCGCTTGACGCCGACTTTGTACCGCGTTGGTGGCTCCTTGTTTGCACGGGGCGTCGGGGGGCTCCTCGCTGAAAGCGGTGGCGTTGGCTTGGCGATCGCCGTTGGCGCGCCACGAAAGGACTTGGACGCGAGCTCGTGCACCATCATCGACGCCATCTGGTTGGCTTTTCTAGCCACGTGGCGCGCCAGCAGCTGTCCGTGTCGCCCCGAGTTGGCTCGAACCACCATCGTTGACGCTGGCCGGAGCACCTCGTCAAATTTGGTGTCGTTGGAGTCAGTCGAAAGTTGCGGCCGCTGACCGTGCTCGGGGGCCGTTTGGGTCCGAGGCGGGTGCACGGACTGTGACACGACGACAAAGTCGGCCATGCGCGGCGACGCTTGCGTCTTCCCGTAGAGTCGACTCACTTTGCCGCCGATGGGCTTGATACGGGCGCCACCAATGCCGAGCGAAGCCCAGTCGAGTGCCAACGCGTCGTCTGCTGGTTCGCCAATGTACCGTGGAGACTTTGCGAGAGCGTTGTGAATGCGCGCGCCAAGGCCGAGACTTTTGACGGCAAACGGATTCGAGGAATCCAAAGCCGCCGTAGAGAGTTCGTCTTTGGGACGAAAATGAGCCGGATCCAAGCCGCGCGTGAAGCTCGTGTGCTGTCCCGTGGCCGCTACGACACAGTCAGAGAGTGTCTAAGATCTCATTCAGGCTAGTACTTAGCAGGAGGTTGTCGTCTCCACTGGGCTGTGATGTGGATGGAAGACGCCCACCGAGGTCTCCGCCTCCTCGAGGTGTTGACGCCGCACAACTCATACCCGAATCACCAAAGGTGGTAGCATTCGACTGAGACTGCCGTGGACTTGTGATCGGTCGGCCGCTCAGACCGTGTGGGCTCTCAACGCGATCAGTGCGAGATGCCCGCTCGTCGCTGGCGTCGTAGTCGTACTCAACGTCACTAGTTGTCGAGACGCCTTCTGCAGATCTCTCAAACTGCGCAGCATCGTTGGCGACCCCGGCATGTGCAACCGCATTGGCTGTCTCGTCGAGGCTTTGTTGAGTGCTGCTGCCTGCGCTCGATCGCAACGTGGGCGCGCGCACCCTGGAGGCTGCGCGCGATGTCCGCCGTGTCACATTGGCATCTGCGCCCTCCTCGACACTGCTCCCATCGGTGCCCGCATGCGACCCCGTCGGCCGGCGGTCGTGCGTGGGGCTACTCGGCTTGCGGCTCGACGACGACGTGGAGAGGCGATTGGACGAGCTTGTTCCTTTCGACCCCATGGCTTGTGATGGTCGCTTCGCCACGCGTTGAGGTGTCGTCGTGCCTACCATCGTTTGTGTGTGTGTGATTTTAAGATGAGGTTACCTAAATCCATGTGGGGGTCGTAGTCAAAGCTCGGCGGGTGGCTCGCGTGGTACATGGTAGCCGTTTTGTTGTGCTCAGGGGGCAGGCCGCTCGTCGATACCAACTTGAGCTTTGTATGCAACGTCTTGGTCAACGGTGTGTCGTCGTCATCGAGCAGGGACGCGAGGTGTCGGGGTCGGTGCGATGCGGGCGCCTCATCGTCGTCCAACAGCAGCGTTGTCGCCTCCGTTGCAGAGGCATTGGTTGTCACTTGTTCCGTGCTTCTCTCGGGCGCCGCGCCGTCTGCGGTGTCGCTTTCGGCGCTGGTTGCATCGGAGGTGTTGGCTCCGCTACCGTCGCCTGTTGTGTTGGAGTGAGATGAGTTTTTTTATTTCGATTGACAAGGAACCTCGTGTGTGGTTGCGGTATTTCCGTAGCTGGGCCTTCTCGACCTCGTCGAGGAAACTCGAAATGAGCGGTGATGAGACATTGCTGCCGGCCTCTGCGACGTCAATGTACTTGACCTCTAGTACACGCTCGTGGTGAAGATGACATCACCGCCATCGCACCTTCGAGGCGCCGCAGCCGAAACGAGCCTGACTGGCGGTATGTGATGCCGTTCAATATCAAGTAGAGCAGGTTGCAATACTACACGAGCACATGAGAAGCGATGAGAGGCGCCGATCGTACATACATCGTCTGCGTCCAGCGAGTCGCACCAAATGTCTAGTCGAAGTGAGTACCAGATCCGATCCAGACCAGATTACCGATGAGCTCAAAGAGCGAGAGGTGAAACATCTCGTACTCGAGGTTGGTATGCGTGGCAATGTCGCGCTTCCAGTCGTCCTGGGGTGCGTGAGACGTCTTGTCGACCATCATCATTATCATCGTACGGCGATCATGACTCTCGACTCGCCAAGGTCGAAGAGCTCGATTAGCACCTTGTGAATGCGCAGAAAGAGGCGCTGGTAGTCGTCAAACTCCATTTTTGCTGCGTCCGGCTTGACCATTGTGAGCCAAAACACCCGCGTCATGCGGCACAAGAGCGGGTGGTACCGCAGCTCGAGTCGCTTTTGCAAGTTGTCCTATCGCGCCTCGTATCACGCCGAAAAAGTGTACTACTATGCATACATCCGTGTAAAACTTGAGGTCGCCTTGGTGGTCGTAGCTCACGTTGGCACCAGGATCGAGGGCGGTGACGACTTCCCTACAACGAAATGATTGAGTTAATCACAAGTATCGCAAGAGCAGAGACCCTTCGGCGACGAGCCGAATGACCGCCTGTCGGATCTCATCGACGTGGTCCGCGGCATCGATGAGCTTGGGCGTGACGAGCGATGGCTGGTGCAGCAGCTCGGGTGTATGCTTGGGCACGGGGCGCGTAATGTCTTCAAAATTGAGCGGATTCATTTCAGGGGACAGCGGCGCATAGGGTGGCGGCTTCTCTTTGATGGTGGCTTTCCGAGGCGGCTCGACTTGGTGCGGAATGACAACGGCCTCTGCTTCGGGAGTGGCCGGTGCCTCCTCGACGATCGACCCGGGATGCTCTAGCGGCCGCGAGGTCTTGTTGTGCGACGACGTCTTGACCATTTGCCCGAGCATAATGCTCATGACCGACTGCTTGAGCTTGAGCGCCGAGAGCTGGCGCATCGGCGCGACGTTGAGCCCGTCGGATGCCGTCGACGAGATCGCGAGCATGTGGTCGGCGATGGATTTCTTGGCATTTCGAATGTCGAGGATCGTCTTAATGCGGTTGAAAGACGCGGGCCGCGCCGGTAGACTTGGTGGCGCCTGCATGGCACGAGTACCTGATTACGGCCGTATAAATAGCGCGCTGTCGTCGCACGGATATAACTGCTTTGCCATGGCGACACGCGGGGCCAACGACGCCACCCTCGACGGCAACGAGAACGAAGCAATCGACGAAAACGAAGCAATCGATGAGAACGAAGTAATCGATGAGATCGAGCCCAGTGACGACGGCGGGCTCCTCGTACTTGTCTCGGCAACGACGCCGCCCGTTCTCTTTTGCAACTACCCGAGCTACCTCGGCTTGGAGCGCGCTTGTCCCGTCGGCTACGAAGGTGCTCGCGTGGCTCTCAAGATGCGGAGAGGCTTCAACACTGCCTAGTCCGCGCGATGCCATCTCCGACACCACAATTGACGTACCATGGCACGCGGCGCTACTTGTACAATGCCGTCAAGAACGTACTCCACACCAACCGCGGTACAGTTCTTCTCGCTATTCGCATCACGTCTCCTTTGCTAGCCAAGAAGACGACGCTGTCGACGTGGAGCCTCTTTTGGGGGTTCGGCCATCACCATTTACATGAACACTTCCCACCCGGTTGTAGGCGCCATTTGGAGTCCAGCTCGGTTGGTCGCCTCGTGCCGGGTCAAAAGGCTCGTCCTGCATCCTGCGAGCATCCTGAGCAATAATGTATAACGATTAGATCAACCATTTTCCCGGCAGCCTCGAACTCGGGCGAAAGGACAAGCTGTGCGCCAACATCTTGCGCATGCAGCGCAAGTTCGGCAAATTCTTCCAGATCATTCCCGAGACGTACGTCACGGGCAGCAAGGACGGTCGGCATTTTATGCAAGCGTACGCGGCGGACCCAAAGGCGATCTGGATCCTCAAGCCGCCCAACCAGTGCTGCGGCCGCGGCATCAAGCTCGTCTCGGGCAGCGCCAAGTACGAGTTCGAGCCCGACAAGCGCTACGTTGCGCAGGTGCCACACGATTCTTATCGCTTGGCGCGTTAAAAAGGTCATGTAGAAATACATTGCGCACCCGTACTTGATCAACGGCTTCAAGTTTGACATGCGGCTCTACGTCCTGGTACACGCCTTCAAATTGAAAGAAATATACGATGCTGCGTCATAGGTCACGTCGTACGAGCCGCTGCGCGTCTATCTCTTTGACAACGGCCTCGTGCGCTTCTGCACGCAGGTTGGAACCCTGTACTACCTCCATTGTCGTTGAAATGTGATCAGAAATACTCGATGGCGACCAAAGACCTCAAGAATCGGTTTGGGCACTTGACCAACTATAGCGTCAACAAGAAGAACGAAGCTTTCGAGTCCAACCAAGGCAACAACGACGGTAGTGGCAGCAAGTGGAGCTTCCAGGTCTCTACCGATGTACAACATTTCATTATAGTCTCGCAGGCGTTGGTCGCACATTTGCGGGGCGAAGGCCACAACTGCGACAAACTCGTCGATGACATTGCGGCCGTGATCGTCAAGACCCTTCTCTGCGTCGAGTCGGCGATTCTTGCGCAGTGTTCCAAGCAACTTCGGGCGGCGCAGAACTGCTTTGAGCTGTACGGCTTTGACATCCTCTTGGACGCCAACCTCCGGCCGTGGCTGCTCGAAGTCAACGTCTTCCCGTCCATGAGCAGCTCGTCGCCGATGGACAAGCGCATCAAGTCGATTCTCATCTGCGACACGTTTCAGCTCGTACGCGCGCTTCGCTCACAACATACAAACACGCGTGTGTAGGTTGGGCTACCGGTCACGGACGTCGCCGCAGCTGTCGAGCAAGCCAAGAAGGAGCGTACGACCCAACGGTCCGTCCACCACCTCGCTACGACATGATCTCCACAGTCGTAAATGCGATAGGAAGGCGAGCGTCAGTGCCAAGCCAGAGGACGACGGCGCCGCGTGGATCCAGCAACTTCTGGACGAGGAGGCGCGCATGGGCCACTTCCGACGCATCTTTCCAACGCCCGCGACCGCCAGCTTTCTCGACTTTTTTGAAACCAATCGCCCGAGCAATGCAGCGCTGGCCGAGCACGTGGCGGATCACAGCGAACGCGGCCTATTGTGCGCAAGACGGGCTCCTTTAGCAACAAGCTGCAGCACGCCAAGGTCCTCAACGCAGCGTACAGTTCGTAGCACTGCTTCTATTCAATTTACGCTGTCGTCCGTGGTTGGATCGACCGGAATCGGCACATGTTGTGTCTTGAGTGCTGCAAAATCGTTCTCCAAGTGGCTCAAACGGTCGAGGACACTGGCGAGCGCCGCCGCGTCGTGGGTCGACTGGTTCTCCTGGACCTGCGCGGCGAGGCGCTGGACGAGCGCTTCCGAAGACTGCAACCGCGCCGCCAGCTGTCCGAGCTTGGCGTCGATCGCGCTGTAGATCTTGGCTTCGAGTTGCGCCTGCATGGCACTTTGAACCTGAAAGAGCATTGCCATTGAGGCGCCATTCAGCGACGGTGCGCTCGGTGCACTCTGCGGTGGCGCCAACGCCCCCGACATTGCGCGGACGTGCATGTCATGCAGCCGCAGCACATGCTTCTTAGCAGCAGGCTGGAGCGACAGAAACTTGAGCATGATGGCGACCGCGCGCTGGTAGGTCTCGTCGTTGGCCGGGAACGAAGCGGCGATTTGGTACAAGTCCTTATCACTGCCATCGCGCACTCCGCGGATCGTCTCAAAGTACTTGAACTCGCGCTCCTTCTTGGCATTGATGATGCCGACGTACACTTCGGCGTGGCGGGCGGAGCTCGTGAGCTCGAGCGTCTTGAGCGTGCACGCCGCTGGGAACGCGACTATGGGGACCATGAGCCCTCGTTGCCAGAGCCGACGAGCGTACGCGTGATGGAGCAAGGCGAATCTTCATCCGGCCGCTCCAGAGAGAGGCTGGCGCCGAGCTTGACGGCCAGAGAGCCATCGTCGAGCGTCTCGAGGTCGCATGCCAATGCGTCGGCGGTGCTCGTCCACGTCGATGTCACTTGCATTGCAGCGATCGCTAGTTAGTTATCTGGCCAATCGCCAGCGCGCAAATCGGTCTATATCACACTATTTCTCGACCCTACCAGGAAATGACCGCTCTGCCCCATGGCGCACCATGGCTTTGATGCAAATAAATGAACGAGCAAGCGACGCACGCAAGCATTCTCAGTGTGTCTCTCTATATCAGACCGCGCAAGTACTGTGCTATGTTTCCCAGTCGCACCGATGCACACTATTTGAGGGTCCACTGGGTCCACGTCATCGGAGCATCCGGATGGAGGAAAAGATCCATCATGACAAGCTGGCTGTGCGAGCCACGGTGGGCCCACGAGGCCCTTCAGGCGCTGAGCCGCCGGGACGCGCCGCGTCTCCGTGCTGCCCTGCAGCTGCCATCTGCTAACGCGCACGCCATCGTGACGCAACGACCGGGCGGCGCGCCGTTCGACTTTGCGGGCGAAGGTGCGTGGGATCGCGGCGGTGGTAACGACGCACGCCCGTAGGCTTCTATGACGCACTCGCAGAAAAGTGGGCATCGCCGCTCTTCAAGCACGCCATCGACGGTGACACGCTCCTCCATCTTGCGCTGCGTCAGCATGACCCTGTCTGTGCCCGCGTGCTTCTCGACGCCGGTGCGGCGCTGGAGACGGTCAACAGCGCCAAAGAAACCCCGGTCGCGATGCTCTGGGCCGTGCACATGGAGCCGACGGCACCCCATGCTGCCTCGTACGCAGATCTTCTGGAGCACACGAAGCTCCAGCTCCAGTGCGACGAAAATAGGTTACCTCGTGGCGTTCACGATAGAGTGCATGCGGTGTAGGCAGTACCAGGAGGCCAACGCCGCCCGCGCCCGGGATGGCCTCGTCGCCGTCTACACACGCTATGCACCCGACCGTCTCGGTAAGATTGAGCTCCAACTGCGCGAGTTTTACGGCCGCGAACTCGACCTTCTCGCACGCGTGCTCGAAAAGTACCATACATCGTCTTAATTAAAGTTGGATGCGCTTCCGCGCCAGCTTCAAGAGGCTGCGGTTCGCGTCGTGCACGGTCGCAGGCATGCCTTTGTTGAAGTGCAAGAGAAGTTCGGCGTCTGTGAACTGAAAGTTGACCGCCTCGCCACTTGCCACGTCGAGCGCATGGAACGTGAGCAGCCGGCGTAGCTCGTACACGTGCACTCGACAGAGGTACCGGGCACCCTTGTGCTTGAAGAAGGACCGGGACGGAAACTCGCGGGACGCAAACAGCGATAAAACGGTGCGGACATCTCGCTTGGGCTTCAAGGCATCGCTCAATGGCTGTTCTGCCACGGCCGGCGCAGCAACCTCGAGCGACAGCTTGAAGCTACCCTCGTCGTGCCCCACGGAGACACGGACGCTTTGCACGAGCTTGATCAAGAGCACCTTGATGTTCTCTTCGTCCAGCGCTTCCGAGACACGGGGAAAGTTGCCGACGTTGGCGTTTGTTTGGATGCGACGCAGTTTCTCTCTATCATCATACATTGGGACGAGTCCACGTCGACTGGTATACTCGATATCGCTGCGGCCAGGCAACGACTGCGCCACGTCCTTGAGCCGCGGTAAGGTCACGAGGCACTCGCCGCTGCGAGCGTCCTTCTTGGCGCGAATCAGAAGCCCCCTACAACGTCACCATCGTCACGCCATCGGCATCCAAGACGGGATGGGTCTACTGGTCGCCGAGGTGCGTCTCGGTCGGTGTCACGAAGGCCGTCTGGATTTCTTCGATTGTAAAATGCACGCCAAGCGACGTCGTGGCCTCAAGGAGGAGGACGGGGACGCTCTTGGTGTTGTACGTTTGCCTAGGCGGTCACAGATGATGACATTGTATGCATTGAAGTCGGTACCGGCGTCGTGACGGCGACGTTGCAACCGTGAGCGGTCTACACCACAATGTCATCCAGCTAACCGACATGATGAGCCTCCGCACCGCTGGCTTCCCGACGGGGCTGGCACCCCGCGCTTGATCGCATTGCGCGGGGACGAAGGCGCGTTCGATGGGTTGCGGCTTGGCCGGTGTGGCGATGGCGCCGACATGACCTCGTCGCGCGGTGTGATCACCGGGAGCGCGCTCTTGTCGCGTGCGTGGTACGGTGACGGGTCGCGCTGCTTGGGCGGCAAGTGCCCGACCGTCGCGTCGTGGTGCACGTGCTTGAAGCGCACGAGCGACTCCTTGTACTCCTAATCGAATATCCAGTTGACGATTTCTCAAGCGACAAAATCATCGGTACGCGATCCCAGCGCGAGGCGCTGTAGGCCGACTTTTTCGTCGTGAGCCGCGCGAGCATCTTGCGGTTCTCGGCCTCGATCTTCGCGTGCTCGCGCTGGCGAAACCCGCTGTTCAAGCTGCCTTTCTCAATCGCGCACCCGCGGCTCAGCGAGTGCGGCGAGAGGTACGAGTCGAGCATCGGTGTTTGCTCGACCGTCAAGCGCATGCCCGGTCGAAACTCGACCGCGCGCTCGGTCGGGTGCGCCGCAACGATGCGGGTCATCTTGCGCACGAGGTGCTGGTTTTCTTCAAAGATCTGCTGGTAGCGCTCTTGCTTGAGCTGCGCCGTTTTGAGGCGCGCGTCCAAATGGACATAGTGCTTGGGAGGCGAGTTGTCGAGTTTGCTCGCGGCCGGCGAGTACGTCGACGACTGCATCGAGCGCAGTCGGTCTTGGTGCAGCTTTTGCGCCTTGAGCACGTCGCGCTCGTAGCAGACGCGGTTGTCAAAGCCGATCTTGCGGTTCATTTCAAGCGTCGGGGTGTCCTACTTCAGGAATATAAAGCGCGCTAAAGTTAGACCACGCTCGTGATTGGCACTTTGCTTCTTCAAGGATTGCCCCAAGGCCGTGCGTGTGGTAGTACTACATGGATACCGCCGGCTCTGGTTCGCTCAGTCGTACGGTACGCCGCACGCATCGCTCGTAACAAAACCAACGAACCCGCCGTCAACGAATCCTCCTACGCTACGCAACGCAGTCTGGTCACCTCAGATATCGGACGTGGCGAGATGGCTCGTGCATGACAGTACTCGAAAGCGTGCATCGCGCTCGGGCCAACGTGGGCTGCAGGCGGAGATGCTGCGAATTTTGGGCCGAGCTACTTCTTCTGCAAAGAAACCGCACGGGTGGTGATGCGCACCCACCCTTTACTACGATGGCATGCCGAGAAGCGGAAGCGCCATCCTGAAGTTGACAGACAGTCCACTTGATGGGAGCATTCGATGCAAAGCAGAAAGTACGCCGAATCAGCTCATCGCAGGTCGTGGGATGCGTCGTCGCGATTGACGCCGACGGTCTTCTCCGTGCAGTGCACTTCTTCTGGCGTCGTGTATTATAAAAATGCCGCGTCACGCGCCGACGCTCTACGATCCGCACTGCGATCTGTACAGTAAAACCTGCCGCCTCCACGTCAAATGGTATAAGTGTCGTGTCTATTCGCCTGCCTATCACGCCTTCGAGTTGCGCCAGCCTTCCGCGCCATCGTCAGCGCACCAGCTGTTACTGCGTGCGAACGGGCGCGCCACGTCATGCGATTAACCAGATCCATCCCTGGTCTATTTTCTATTATTAAATTAAAACACCTAACAATTGTATGAAACTAACGTTTTCTATCCTTTCGCATAGGACACGTACGAACCGAGGATGGCACACCGGATGGCCAATATAAAGTCCGCCCCGCATGCCATAGAGTCTATGCAAAGGTGGGTATTTTTTTAGCACTTGTGGGAGCCTGTCTGTGGTGCGTAGCGAGCCCGCAACCAGCTGTGCGCCTCCCGATTGGTTGCCTCCACTTCTGGATGGATTGCTGCTTCATCGTCGCGACCGTCGCCATAACTCAAACGTCGGGACCATGGCCGTGAGCAGCATGCACAACAACCCGCTCTACAAGTACACGCTCTTCCACATGAAGCGGCGGCCGTCGCCGTTCTTGAGCGCCACGACACCGTTCTTAGAGCCGCCGCGCATGACGACGACGTCGTCGTCCTTCCTCGACCGACCGGCGCGCACCGGCGACGCAAGCATGGCCGCCATCATGTACCCGACGCGCTCGTGCATGTGGATCCGCGGCAGCCCCGTGTGCATCCGGTGGAGCGTGCTCGACGACCGCATCGGCAGCGTCCGCATCGAGCTCTGCCAGTGGGGCTCGAGCGCCATGACGACCATTGCAACCCACGCGCCCAACACGGGCTGCTTCGTCTACTCCAAGGTGCCATGGGGCGTCATCGGCCACAACTTTTACATTCGCATCACCGCGGCCGAGCACGACGACCGGTTCGTCGTGAGCGAATACTTTAGCATCGGCAACCCGCGCCAAGGCTGGTAGCCGCCCCTTATCTACGACGTTCTCTCTCGCATTTTAACTTAACGATCCCATATCATGTTAATAACATATCTATACTCGCGTGAATGGTGCTGGCGGCGATCGAACGCGCTGGCGTGCTTGCCTTGGCTATGCAGCGGGTGGCTATCGAGGAGCAATGTCGGCGCGTCGGCCTCGTTACGATAAAAAGAAAGGCAGTTGCTTCAACGTTCCCATGCTAAAGTACATGGTATTGCATTGCCGCGTCATAGAGATGCGCATTAGTGCGCGCAAAAGCACCCAAGAGCGAATTGACCCATCTCAAGGCGCTAGCTGCACGCAACTCACGCCGCGCGCCTGCGTGCTTCTCCGTCTTTGCGAGCGCCCGCCGTCCATTGCTGCACCCAAGTGGACCCGACCCAATCACATGCGCGGCGCCGCAAATCCTCGTAGCACCTTGCAGTGATAGGTTACCCGACACGAACGTGCGCGCGTGTCAAGATGGCGTGATTTTAGCTTCAGGTTTCATTACGCGGATCACGATCGGCCACAATCCGCCAATCCGCGCCCACTTTGGCGCTGGCGGTTCGAACTACGCACGCATCGAAGTCCGTAGTAGTTCGTCAGTCTCTTCCAAGTCATGGCAAGCCGCAGCGGCGCAGCCCTTGTGGCAGGGACAGCTGCCACGCTCTCGCTCAAGGTAGGCGCGGCAGTACGCCTTCTGGCGTGGCTCCATGCAGTGTGTGGTGTAGGTGGCGTTCGGCCTTCCCTCGCATGATGGCGTGTACGTCCAGCCGCTCTTCCAGACCGGTCTCGTCTTTTCAGCAATGGCATTGTGTACGCCGCCTTCGCATCGCCACGTCTGGTCCTGATGCCTGATGACCATTGTAGTGGTGCCTGTCCATTACATCGTGACGTGTAATGGCGACCGAGCAACGATCGAGAAAGGGGCCTTCTGGCGTCTCTGCCGTCCGGCCGTGATTGACGTGCTTGCGACGGCGCTCGCGATGGCCGGTCTCTTGTACCTCGCGCCCAGCACGCACAAGCTCCTCCAGTACAGCGTCATGCCGATCGTCGCCTTGCTCAAGTGGCTTCTCAAGAGAGACGACGCGCCCGCACTCGCGACGCGCGGCCTGGGACTCTACCTTGTCGCGCTGATGTGCATCGTCGTCGGAACCATTTGTAGCGCACCGATCGAGTCTTCCGCCATTGTGCGCGGCCTTTTGTTCCTCGGCGCCAGCTGCATTGTGCAAAGCGTTCTCTTCCTTGTCGACGCCGACGCGTCCGAGCCGCTGCCCGCGCTCCTTGCTATTGGCGTCCAAGGGCTCTGGGGCTGTCTCTTTCTGACCCTTCTCGTCTTCCCCGCGGCCTACTGCATGCCGACCAGCTCGGGGCTCCATGAAAACGTCTTCAACACGGCGCAAGTCGTTGCCACCAATTCGGACCTTCTCGCGTCTGCGCTCGTAACCCTATTCTCGACGACCACCTTTCACGTCGTCGCTGTCCGCGTGCTCGAAGACGACGTCGACGAGGTGCACGGGTACTTGCTCGCGATGAGCTTGGCGCCGAGCGTGTGGATCGTCGGCATTTTGCTGCAGTACAGCACCAGCCTTCCGGTCGACGAGCCGTGGACTGGCGTTGCGAGCATGGTGCAGCTCTGCGGCATGGCACTCCTCCTCTACGCGACGACCTTGATTCATAACGATGCACCCGAGCTGCCTGTCGGCGTCGGGCACCGAGTGTTTGCCTACTCGTCGAGCAGCGCCACCGAGCCCCACCTCGCGCAGCGCCTCATCGCGTACGGCTCGTTCAAGGCCGCGGACCACAAGACCCGTGGCTCGTTCGTGATATAAATGAGACACCGTATCTTGCGAGTGGAGCGTACACGGAGCGAATAATTACAGGAGTTCGAGACGCTAAGCACTTGTCAGCACGCTGCCTCGGCAGCGGTCTTGTCCTCGTCATCGCCGACCAAGTCTTCTTCGAGCACGATCCGGGAAATGTTGTCGAGGATCTTGACGACCGAGCGCTCCATCGTCGCGCAGTTGGCCTTTTGCGCGATCTTGAATTGCTCCAACTAGAACGCGATCAGTGGACGCCACGTCACGGAGTGCGTACCGTAAGCTGCTCGCCGATACCGTGCGCCATGTTGTCGACGATCGACACCATCGCAAACGGGACTTGGAGCTCGTTCGCGAGGCCGGCTTCGTGGCACCCCGTCATGCCCACGAGTTCCTACGGTTGGGTCGCATTAGCTTTGCGCTCGACATGCATGCGTCGCACCCCAAACTGAGCAAAGAAGCGGATCTCGGCCTTCGTCTCGAAGCGAGGGCCTGCCGTTTGCACGTAGACGCCACCGTCGTGCGGATTGAGACCCTCGGCGCGAAGCACTTCGAGAAAGTACTTGCGCAGCGGCTCAGAGATACCTAGACACAGGAGCGCTGCGTAAGACGATGCGCGTGTTGACGATGGCGTAGTACAGGGCACGATGTGCGCTTCGTAGTGCGACGAGATGTTGATGATGTCGAACGGGTTAAAGTAGTCATTAGGAATCGCCATGCTACAAGGGTCGCGATGAGCATACGCAGTGAAAGGATGCGGCAGCTGCATGTACCTGCCAATCGGGATCGCGGTCGTCATCGAGCCGACCGAGTAGACGCCAATGATGCAGTCGCAGTTGAGCTCCTTGAGCGCCGTCACGATCGCATGGTAGTTGATGTTGCGAGGCTGCTTGTAGTCGGACGGCTTGTCGCCATCAGCGTGGTGGCGCTGGATGAAGACGATGTCCGTGCTCGACGTGCCCCAGCGACCCTTGTATGCCAGTACAGGGCCATACTCGGTCGGGACCGTGATCTGGTCCATGCCCGAGAAGCGCTTCGAGTGGAAGAGGCTCGAGCCGCCGATGATCCCGACCGTCATCTCGGCGGGCTCGTCCTCGTACGTCGTCGTCGATTGTTGCGGGGCCATGGCTCGGATTCGATTCTGCACCCGGTTCAGATCCCAGGTGGGCACGGTAGATGCCGGCCAATTAGGCACTCCATACAAACCCAATGTTTTGCCCTAAAGCTAGGGCGTATGCCTTGAAACGAGGCGGACCTGAGGTCACTTGACGCAACCGCTCATGATGCTGCGATTGGTGGATTCCTGTCCCCGACTGGGTGAGGTTGAAGCTGTCGACCAATCACAAGCGCCTGGGTTTTACCAACGAGCATCCATGCTCCAAGAGGATGGCTTCGGTCATCGGAATCGGCCAAGCATGATGCGACGACAATCCCGCGTAAGCTTGGCGACAACCTCTCGCAAGCGCCTCAGATTGCGGCCGAGTCATCTTTCTCGTCGAATTCTCTCGCAGCCTGTGTCCAGATACTCGTAGTGATGTGCAAAGTGAGTTCATTGTGGTCGTCTCAGTGAACGGCTACCGCGCGCCAAGCGCGCCTGGCAGTGCTTTTGCAAGGTTGCATCGGCGGCTTCCAGCGAAAGACCCATCGCCATCCAGGACATCGGCTTCATCAATCGCTGTGGGCAAGGGTTGTTGGTGAAAGATTTCGAAGGTTTGCAGCTTGGTCCTTGGATTCCACTGCAATTCTGGCCAAGCTCTTGACTCCGTGAGGAAAATGACATCAACTGTCATTTCTTTTTCGTAAAATGGGAAACCAATTTGCTCGAGTGCAAAGCTCCTCGTGGACAAACGCCGGCCAAGTTCTTATCGCTGTGCAGTCGCTTCACCGGTCCCAGAGCATCGGATGAAACTCTCCACGTCGTGCCGAGACACAAATCCGTCGTCTTTTATATGCAGGAGCTAGCTCAATTATCATCATAGCAGTATACAAACTGGGTCTTGCTGTGAGACAGTGTTTAGACTGTACTATGGTTTGCTCTAGTAGAGAACCGTCCACCGCACGAGTAACCAGCTGCATGAGTAAAGTTGAGGTAGGAAGAACAAACGAGAAAGCACTTGCGGTCGGAAACTCAAAAGAAGAAGTGAGCTGACCAGGCTCGGTTATGGTGGCTTCCGCGAGCTGACCAGGCTCGGTTATGGTGGCTTCGGCGGGCTGAGTAACGAACGATGAAGAGTGCGCTTCAGGACCGGTACGCGGAGATGGGAGCTGTACCGTATGACACGAACCGAGATGGTGGGTTTAGGGCTCGCGTGTCCATTTGTACATTGTAGCACTCTGTACTGTGTGACTATTGCCGCGTGCAAATGACGTCCCGGTAAACGTTGCTCGTTTGAACGACGGAGCCTGGGCGTTGTTCTGGACTGTTAAGAGACGTCGGTCGAACCTCCCACCTAACCTTCTCCTCCTCCAGGCATGGGGCTGGACCATCCTGCTACAGACCGATTCGCTCTTAGTGGGGCTGGACGGTGCTTTCGTCTTTACTGCCGCATGCTGTGTGGTGTAGGGTTCAACCAACGCTATTTGATCGCTCATGTCTCGAGTGATGGGTCGTTGACCATTCCCTTTACTTGCAATAACCATATTGCAAACAAGCGACGACGGATGTAGACCACCAGCCTTGGGTTCGCTCTCTATGGGCTCAGTTAAAGTACTCCTTACATGCTAGTTCCGCGGTCACCATCGACATCAGCGTCCGAGTTGCTGCATCGTGTCCTAATAAGCATGGACACGTTTCAGTGCAAGGAGGTCAACAACCCTAAGGAAAGGACCATTGGACGGCTTTGTCGCCAAGCCATCGACCTTTCTGCATCACTATTCCATCCTATTCAATGGAGCTCTCGTCAAGTGTCATTGGCCCTCGAGGAGGTGTCTGAGGATGGTCCAGACAATGATTCGCCGGTGGCTTCCGTGGAAACATCCAACTGTTCACACAAATAAGCTTCGCTGGCGGATTTGTTGAAACGAGCTGCTCATCTGAACCGCCATGTAAAGCGATTTGTGCTCGCAACGCTCTCGTCGGCAGAGACGAGGAAGGACGCAAAATCCATCCAACTCATTCCGCACTGTCTATGTCTCTCTCGCGGCAATCCAAATCATTTGACATCGCGATTGGCGATGGAGCCCTGTCGCTTCCGCCAACGGCGGAAGGAGGTCATCGAGGCCGCCATCGCGGTCTCTGCGTCATTGACTTCGCTCTCCTCGCTTTTGATTCGCTCCTTTTCAGAATAGGGCTCGGGGAATGGCCCAACGGCTCTGGGACGCGCACGTGATTGGCGGGCTTTATGGCCAATCGCTGAATTTAGCATCTGGCGGCGATGCGATTGGCGTATTCCTTCGTATCGCGTCGTTGATTGGGCGGAGATCTGGTTGGTGTGAAGTCCCAAACGCGACAGGCGTGGGGTTTTTCGGAAAGTATACGAACTCCAAGTGCGGCTGCCGTGGCCTGCAATTGGTGGTCGAGCCAAAGCATTAGGAAAAACTATGTCTGAGACGCCAAGAAGGTACGCCGGCGCCGCCGACGCTGGGCTCCAGCTCATGGACCTCCTCTCTGTGTAGCCCTCGTGGGGAAGACTCCCACGCCCCCGCCCCCATTGTCGATGGCGACATTGACACCAACTGGGAAGAAGTCATCGAGTCGTTCGATGGCATGGAGCTCCGCGAAGACCTCCTCCGTGGCATTTACGCCTACGGTTTTGAGAAGCCGTCGGCCATCCAGCAGCGCGCTGTGAAGCCTATCTTGCTCGGCCACGATTGCATTGCCCAGGCGCAGTCGGGTACCGGTAAGACGGCCACGTTCGCCATCTCGATCCTGCAGCAGATCGACTCGGCGCTCCGTGAGACGCAAGCGCTCATTTTGGCGCCCACGCGCGAACTCGCGCAGCAGATTGTCAAGGTCATCTTGGCCATTGGCGACTACATGGGCTGCCTCGTCCATGCCTGCGTCGGTGGTACCGCCGTCCGCGACGACATCCGCACGCTCCAGAGCGGTGTCCACATCGTGGTCGGTACGCCCGGCCGTGTCGGTGATATGATCAACCGTCGCGCCTTCCGCACCGACTCGGTCAAGCTCTTCGTCCTCGATGAAGCCGATGAGATGCTCTCGCGCGGTTTCAAGGACCAGATCTACGACGTCTTCCGCTTCTTGCCCGAGAAGGTGCAGGTGGCCCTTTTCTCGGCCACGATGCCCCTCGACGTGCTCGAGGTGACGCAGCGCTTCATGCGCGACCCGATCCGCATCCTCGTCAAGCGCGATGAACTGACCCTCGAAGGTATCAAGCAGTTCTACATCGCCATTGACCGCGAGGAGTGGAAGTTCGACACGCTCTGCGATCTGTACGAGACGCTTACGATCACGCAAGCCATCATTTATTGCAACACGCGGCGAAAGGTCGACTGGCTCACGGAGAAGATGCAGTCGAAGGACTTCACGGTCTCGGCCATGCACGGCGACATGGAGCAGCGCGAACGTGACATCATTATGCGCGAATTCCGCTCGGGCTCGTCGCGCGTCTTGATCACGACGGATCTCCTCGCCCGTGGTATCGACGTGCAGCAGGTGTCGCTCGTCATCAACTACGACCTCCCCACCAACCGTGAGAACTACATCCACCGTATCGGTCGCTCGGGTCGTTTCGGTCGCAAGGGTGTGGCCATCAACTTCCTGACGAGCGCCGACGCCCGCTACCTCCGCGATATCGAGCAGTTCTACAACACGCAAATCGACGAGATGCCCATGGACGTCGCCGATCTCATTTAGAGGACGAGCTGAAGATCAGCCGACGGCACCGAGCGTCTATTTTCCACCAACATGTATTTCTGTCTGCTTGCTGCCAACAAACACCTTTTGTCTTGTTTCACGCACGTTATATGGGTCGTTGGTCGCGTTATTCGTTGTGCTGGGTGTTCCCTGACTGAACGGGTTCCGAGCCCGACGCGGGACCACACAGACTGCGTGGAGGGGCTGCTGCCGTAAGGTGTGGCCCCAGACTGCCTGGAGAAGCTGCTGCCGGGATGCTGCAAACTCTTCGCCGTAAACCCTAGTGACGACCAGGTAAAATACTTTGACCTGTGTAGAGTAAAGGTAAAAGCCAGGCAGTGGAGTTTTTCGTGATGGCGACGAAGCGACTGAGCTGCGCCCTTGTGCTGGCACTGGCGTGGGTCTTGACGGCGCCGATCGGCCAAGGCTTCTTGGTCTACCTGAACTTCCCGTCGTACCTCTGGCTGGACTTTGCGTCCGCAGCCAACGAGCTCGGCAATACAGCCAACGTGTACATCAACAGCACGGATGGCGTCCGCATTGGCCTCTGGCACACACAGCTCCATGGCGCAGTGAACCGATCCAAGGTCGTCTTGTACTTGCACGGCAACGGCGAGCATCGTGCATCGGCCGTCGGGCTTTCCAAGCTCCGTCTATACCGGGCCATGCCGACCGTCAGCGACATTGTGCTCGTCGACTACCGAGGTACCATGGTTGCCGCATCCATGCAACTCGACATGTAGTACTACGTTGCAGGTTTCGGCGACTCATCGCGGGTGTGGCCCACGGAGCAAGGCGTCAAGGACGACGCGATGGCTGCATGGACGTGGCTCACCGACGTGCTGGGGCGATCCCATCGCGACATTGTCGTCCACGGCTACTCGCTCGGAAGTGCGATTGCGACCCACCTCGTGCACACGCTGTGCGCGCGGCAGCAGTGCCCCGCAGGCCTCATCTTGGAAGTACTTCGCACCTCACGTTACAGCGCTGGCACTCAGTGGAGGTGTAGGCGCCGTTCACCACCATCTCGGGCATCGTGCGCGACTGGGTGCCCGCGGTCGCCGATGACACCGTGTCGTCAGTCCTCGCCCACCAGTTTCGCACCAAGGACCTTCTCCGCGCCGTGAACGCGACACCCATCTTGCTCGTGCACGGCAAGAAGGATCGCATCGTTGCCTTCCACCACGGCCAGACGCTGTACGAGCGCCATGGCCACAACAACCTGCGCTTCTGCCCTGTTGCGGACGCGGGGCACATGGACACCTTGGCGTTCGAGGAAGGGCAGCGCTGCTTGCATGCGTACTGGCACGCTGCGATTGCATTATCTACCTAAGGCTCACTCGTCGTTGTTATACACCCAGTGTCTACTGATATTTCGTCTTGCTACTGTGGGGCACGACGTAGCGAAAGTAGCCCGTCCCGATAAAGAGCATTTGAGCAATCAGGATCGCAAGCATCCCAGTCTTGGGCGCGTGGGCCAACGTCAAGAGCGACGCCGCCGGAATGTCGGCAAACACCAGAACTTCGAGCACCGAGTAGGCAGCCTCCATGACGTGGGCGACGCTGAGCGCGCCAAAGAGGGCGGCGTTGGTCATGTCGCACGCGGTGGCGAAGCGGAGGGTCGCGAGCGTGAGCACGTAGAGCGCGTAGAGGCGGCGGACGGCGGGCACAGCATCGAACGAAGGGTCTGTCACTGTGGGCAGGAGCTCCACGAAGGGTGTGTCCGTGAAGACAAGGCGCACAAAGGAGACGACCTCGAGGAGCGTCCCGAGGACGAGGTAGATGCGCAGAAACTCCACCATGGCACGATGGCGAGCGTCTGTCAGTATAACATATGAGAGGTTAGGAGGAAGTTGGAGCGTTGGAGGTAATGCGATGCCACAGTGCCTGTGCTAGACTAGGTCGCCTGGCGCTGGAAGCTCCTTCCAGGCAGGGGATTGGCAACCAGTTGGCAAGGACGCATCTCCCGGTCAAGCGTGTCAAGCAAGATGAGGATGCTGGGCAGGAAGGACGATCCGGTGGTCGCTCTTGACGTTACAATCTGAAACCTCGGCCCGTGGCGGGAAGAGGGCAGCATAAATGACCGGCGACGGCGTTATTTATGTCGGGCAGAAGACGGCCGTTGGCAGCAACGCTCCTGTACGTCAAATACTGACGCGGCGATGGAACATGCAAGGTGGAAGATTGCGTGTGCAATGGCATGATATCCGGACGCGGCCGTCACTTCGGCTGACGCCAGACAGAGAGCGTCGGCCTTTGCAACGACGCGGCTGTTCTTCGTTGCCTCGAGCACAAAGACGGCGCTGCCGAAGCGGTCAAGTGCGTGGCCGACTTCAGGGCGGTTCTGCAGCAGTTGATACGAGCGGTGGTGGAAGAATTCGTTCTCACAGGTTCAATGGCAACCGGCTTCAAGAAGGCCGACGGGCCGGAAAGGGCGGTTCCGCCCATCGCCAATCACATCGCGTTGGTCGTCGGCACGCACCAATCAACATCCATCTCGCATGTGATTGGTGGAAAAGAATGGGGGTCGCTCCAGCATAGAAACGCGCGCAGGCCAGCGCCAGCGAACAAAGGTGCATAGACAGGTAGGCGGCGCCGGCCGACGCGAGCGCAGTCATCAGAAGCATGTCGCGATGCCAAACGATCCGTAGGCACATGAAGCAGCACGATGTGACGGCCAAGACGGCCGAGCTCGCGCTGGACCCCGAGGGCCAGTACGCGGCGTACCTCGAGGACGAGATGCGCTTCTTCCAGGAGAGCCACAAGATCCCGCTGGGCTGCGTCAAGGACATCTTACGCTCGCACTACCGGTCGCTGCGCACGCTCAAGCACGTGCTCAAGCCGCCGCCGCCGCCGCTCTCGGTGCAGCTCGAGAAGCTGTCGCCGCCGCACATTGAGATTCTAACGGCGCCGATCCGCGATATCTGCGACCAGCTCACGCACGTGCAATGTACTACGCTTCTACGGCACAGAGTGGAGGCTCATGCTTACGCTTCTTTTAGTCAACATTTCGATCCCGACCGCGGCCGAAGTCACGGCCATGGGCAAGGACGTCTTTTACTACAAGCTCTGGGAGGCCGAAAGCATCAGCATGGGCATCTTCTTCATGCCGCCCGGCTCCAAGATTCCCCTCCACGACCACCCGTTCATGTCGGTCGTCACGCGAGTGTACGTCCTTATCGCCAGGAACACGCGGGCGCTCAAATCGCATTGATTAGACTGTACGGCTCGTTCCACCTCAAAGCGTACAACTTGCTCGAGCACGACCAAGTAGATGAACAAGGGTACGCTCCCTGGCCTTATATGTGCGTCCTGTATTCACGCGTCTGCGATCGCGTAGAGCCCCTCTCCTTCTCGCCAAGCAGACGCGGAACAAGCACGTTACTGGTAGACCGAGAAAATGGATGGCTCCCGTGCTCACGCGTGTCTTTAGCACCGTGCACAATGGATCTGAACCCGTGGCAGCACAACCTGCACGAGCTCGTGGCCGAAGGCGCAATAGGCTGCGCCGTCTTTGACGTCACGATCCCGCCCTACGATGAGTACGCTTCGTATAGTCGTTCTCCAAATCTTATGTTTTTCTTAGCCTCGATCGCCATGGGAACCACTACAAGGTCATCAAGCCCCAAGACGATCTGGACGACGTGTTTGTGCTTCAGACAACCGATGGTCCCGAGGCATAACTCTGCCTCATTTAATACTATTGCACCTATTTCCAGTCGGTTGTGCTGCAAAATGCACAAAGTGTCCTTGGCGAGATGACCCACGACAGCCCTTCGCAGACAAGTAGCAGAAGCGCCAGCATGCGCTATTCATTCCTCCTTAAACTCGAACAAGCGATTTACAGTTGTCCAAGAGCACTGTTGTATAGTGCATCGCGATCGCTGGCGCTCCTGTCTTCACATGGCCGGCGGATCACTCCCACGCCACGCCCCTGCATGCACGCCTCCAATGTACTCAGCATGAGTTGTCGCGACGTGAGTTGTCGGCCTGCCACAGCTGGCCAAGCCATCCACGGCACGGTCCCGCCATGCTACAGCGAGAGTTGAACCGTGGCTTTGGTTGAACCATCGCATCGTCGTCCATCGCTGCCTGCCTCTGTCTCTGAAACCGACCAGGGTGCATCTTGTGGACTGTTCACGGAATGTTCTCTCGTATCCATGGAACACGCTTTGCGATGAGGGATTTACCCTCCGCTCGGAAATGCTGTCTTTTTGCCCAATGAAATGGTAGGCGCTCAGGGATTGGTGGATCCGAGATCTTGAACGGAGCCGAGCGATGGCGGCCACGAAACTCTGGGCGTCAGTGGCTGGCGCTTGCCTCGACTGCGACATCGTCGCCTTGTACGCCAAGCTCGCGACGACGCCGGCGCTGGCGCTGACGGAGCTCGTGAACGTGACCGCGCTCTTGCTCGTTTCAATTGTCGTCTACGCGGCGCTCAAAGTCGCGCCGGCGTGGGTCGCAATCGTGCCGTTCGAGGTCGACCTTGGCTTTTTCATATTGCTGACGCTGTTCAGTACGGCGTCTACCGCACGCGCATCGACGACATGTTTGCGCCGTTTCTCATGCTCTTCCAGAGCACCGTGCTCTGGGACCTGCTGCAGCTCGCTGGCGCGACGGCCGGCCTCGCCTCGCTAGCCGTGCTCTGCTACTCCGACCCAAACGAGCTGGTTGCAATGATCGAGCTCTTCTTGGGACCGCACTTGACGCCGCATGTCCTCATCTACCTCCCCGTTGTGCTGCACCAAGTGTTTATCGTGCTGCGCCTCGCAGGCTTGCTCCTCCTCCTGCAGTGGACGGGCTATGTCCTGACGCTGCCTTATGTGCGCTACCGCCACCTTGTCAAAACCAACAGCACGTTGTAATCAAGCGTCTTTCACTGCACAATTAGAACTCCATGGGACTGGGCTCGTTCAAGCAGGCGCGACTTGCGCGACTCCGCGGCAACGAAAAGGCGACCGGGCCCTCGTCTTTCGTCGTGACCGAGCATTCAATCGCAATCGTGAGCGACGGAAGCAACGACTCGAGGGGCGGGTCATCGAGAAGCGCCGGCGACTCGAAGCGGTGGCCGTGCCGTCGCCAGAGCGCCATGTCGGCCACCACGCGCTCAAGGCACACGGGCGACGCGTGCTTGGCTCGCCTCGCGTCCTCCTGGCGCGTCTGCAGCTGCACCAATTGGGCTCGCACGCGCCTTTGCACGTCCGCCTGCGCGCGCAGCATCGCGCTCGCGTGCTCGGCGAGGTACTGCGTTCGCGACTTGGTTTTCTTTAGCGCCGGGCGGGAGGCCGACGCCTTGATTTGCTTGGCGCGCCGCAGCCCCGCCGCTTTCGGTAACGCACCGGTGCTCTTGGCCATCACGCCATCCCTGGGTGGAAGCTCGGATTTGGGATCGATTGCATGGTCGAGCTGCTGTGCGAGGCGCACCACCTTTGGGTTCTTGGGGGCGGCGGCGACCGTCGTCTTGATGCGAGGATGAAAGTTGACGAGTGGCACACTCGGGTTGGTGTTGAGAGAAAATGTCGGCGCTGCGTCATCCTCGTGGTTGTTGTCCTCAGATTGATTGGATGCGTGTGCTACTACTTGCAGCGGCTCCCAGTGTGGGTCCTTGGCGCCTAGGACGCGGGTATGCAACAGTCATACGATGCAACGAGGCAGTCCACGCACCAGGCTCCAGGTTGTTGTGCTCCACAGACGTCTGCGCTTGGGCTCTCGCCGGCGCCCAGCCAGCAAACAGTTGTGTGCTTGCGTCTTGTCGCCTGCGACGAACGCGTGAAAGCGGCGGCGCACGTGGTTTTGAAACGCGCGCTCGCGGGGGCCCGGCGCGTCGGGCGGCGGCTTCTCACGCGACGACCGAGCCGTCGCGGGTCGTTGGGGTGGTCGTGGCGGGCGCTGCGTTGGCGGCTTGTGGTCGAGCACGATCGTGTTGCGTGAGTTTGCATCGGGCACGACGCTGAGGTACTGAGCCAACGGGTCGCTCTGCTGCATTTATGGTAACGCCTGACCCCAACTGCCGCTCTACGATCTATGAGAGAGCGCTTTGCGCTTGCCGCGGGCAGACTCGACAAGTCACAGCTATCGCTGCAAGACGATGGCTAAAGGCCAAGGAAGGAGCTGGGTCGGTTGCTTGGCGCTGCTGGGGGCGTATCATTGCGTGCATTTAGCTAACGTCGAAGTATAGAATTGCGCTCGCTGATTGGGTATTGCAGTCGTTTCCGTCAAAAGGTCGAAGACACATGCGAATTGGTGCGACGACGCGCGGGCCATGGAGGAGGCTCATCGGCGACGCTGGGTAGACATCTGGCGCCATGCCAGCACCCTCGAGCAGTACCAGCGCGAGATGCGCTCCACGCAGCGGAGCTCTGGCGCCGGGCGCCCGGCGACGCTAGGCCGGCGCATCTGGGCGGCCTGCAAGTTCTTGCCCCACTCGCCCATCACGTGGATCTTCCTCATGACGCTTGGCTGCCTCTCGGCGCTTATCGGGTACCTCTTAGCTTATCATTGGCCTTCTGATGAAGCAGCTAGAGCGCTCTTGGATGCGTGGATTGTGGCCATTCTTTCGTACCGGTCGTGGCTGCTCGCGTCGCTCGGCGAGGTACGACATCGTTAGCCCAAAACTTGATCGATCGATGCCATGCTTAGGACTCGATCGCTGCCTGCATGCTGTGGCTGGGATGGACCGTCGTTCTTGGGCTCCTCGCGAGTCTCTGCGGCGTCATCTTTTCGAATTACGCGGACGGCTCGGGCATTCCGCAGATGAAGGCGCTGCTTTCGGGCCAGCTTGCGTCCACTCACGTGCTCTCATATCGCACGCTTCTCGGTCGATCGCTCAGTACTGTCCTCTCGAACGCGTCGGGGCTCTCGGTCGGGAAGGAAGGGCCGTTCATCCACCTCGTCTCGATTGTCGCGCACAAGCTCAGCAGCCTCGGCATCTTCCGGCGAGGTCCCGAAGACAACATCACATTTATCCGCGCAGGTGGCTCCGCCAACGACGAGAGGCTGTACGCATGCGGCATGTGTAGGCGTCGCCTGCGGCGTCACGGCCGTCTTTGGCTCCCCCCTCGGCGGCGTGCTGTTCAGCATCGAAGTCACGTCGCAGTTTTACGCCATCAAGTATCACTGCTTGCTACAACATGAGGCATCTGAAGAGGGCGTAGGAACCTCTGGCAGAGTGTAATTAGCTCGTCGTTTTGTGTGCTCACGTTCCAGATCGTCTCGGCGCTGCAGAACGATGTGCTCTTCACCAACACGACGTTTGCCGACTTCAAGCTCGGGCCAGAGCTGCTCGCGTTCTTGCTCCTCGGCGGTCTCTGCGGGGTACACGCTGCATCATCGGCTATCTCATTCCTTCTTGCATTAGGGCCTCTCGGCGGCCTTTGTGCAAAGCGTCGTCTATATTCAAAAGCTGCAGGCGCGCTACCTCTGTGTACGCCAGATTCGAGACCGTTATGCGCCATAGGATGACCCTTTCTCGTAGCCGCGTCTCCCAAAGAGCTCGCGCCACTACCGCTTTGCAGTCGTTGCGATCGCGGGCGCGCTCACGGCGCTTGGTGCGTACCCGTTCCTGCGCCTGCTCCGCGCCTCGGACCGTGCGATCATCAACACATCGTTTCGCGACAGCCCGATCCACGACACGGCGCTGCACTCGATCTCGCACGCCGCCGCCTTCGTCCTGCTCAAGTTTGGCATGACACTATTGCCGTGCGGCCTCCCGCTCTCGTGCGGCATCTTTACGCCGCTCTTCGCCCTCGGTGCCGTCGTCGGTCGGCTGTATGGCGAAGTCGTCTTGTGGATCGTCGGCGACGGCGTCTCGCCCGCCACGTACGCCGTCGTCGGCGCAGCGTGCCTCGCGTCCGCGGCGACGCACTCGATTTCGACGGCCGTCATCGTCTTTGAACTCACGGGTGCGCATTTTACGAAAAGGAGATGGTATCCAGTTGAAAGTAGGACAACTGAGCCACATACTGCCCGTCATGCTCTCGGTGCTCGTCGCGTACTCGGTCGGCGGCATGTTTACGCCGTCGATCTACGACGTCTTTGCCAAGCTCGCGGGCCTCGACTTCATCTGCGACGACATCTCCGAGACCGTCTTGGCCAACAAAGTGGCCCACGAAGTGTTGCAGCCGCACTGCGGCGTCCTCACGCTGCACTCGACGTATGCCGACGCCGCTAACCTTCTCGTACGTCTCCTCTCGCAACGATCCTCATCGCGCAAGGCCGTAGCTCACGCATCCGACGCACCAGCAGTTTGCACTCTGCGATTCCTCCGAGTCGCGCACCCTTCTCGTATGGAAGCGCTGCGTTAAGAACGACGTGCAACAAATGGACTAGGGCGGCGTGCGCCGATCGGACCTCGTGCTCGCACTCGCCCGACTCCGTGACCGGCTGCACGACCACGTTGATGACAACGACACGGTCGACGACTCGCAGCAGACGCTGCGTGCGTCGCTCGTCAAACCGGACCTTGACACGGGTGCGCGCATTCAATTGCTTGCTATTTCCATATCCACGCGTAGACGAAGCCACTCTGTTGCACTCGCTCGAGAGCCAAGGCCATCTCGAGTCGACACTGGTAGCGTGACTGTACTCTCCGGTATCAACATGCTTGCTTGGCTAGCTGGCGTACGGCCCGCCGTTCCACGCGCTTTCGTACGCGGCGCTGCCTGTCGACACGTACCCGCCCCAAGTCGGGTACATGGTGCCCCTCAGCAAGGTGTACGTGCTCTCGTGCCTCTACATGTGGCCGCAGATCTTTGTCGTCAAAGAAGGCAAGCTCCAAGGCGTCCTCTTCATGGACTCGACGCTGACACACTACTAACACAGTCGCACGTCGTCGTCGTCGTATAAATCGGATATGTCTCATCTACTCGTCGTCCTCGAGCCGCAAACAGTCGCGCACCTCGGCGAGCTTGGCGTTGAATGCAGCCTCGCCCTTGACCAAGTCGGTCATGTCGTTGGCTCCCGGCCGTTGGCGCAGATGGGCGAGGCACGCGAGGCTGACACGCTCGACGTGCGCCACGTGCTCGAGCACCACGTCTTGCTCGAACGGCGGCGAGACGTCCGCGCCCATGTCGACGATGACGTCGTTCACCGCATCGTAGAGCGACGGCAGCGCGCCGCTCCAGTCGAGGAAGCCGTCTTGGCCGTCGTTGGTCTCGGTCGCGTTGACGGCGAGGACACCCTTCTTGGTGATCGCCTGGACCATCTTGAGGAGGCCGAGGACGAGCGTGAACTGGCGCGTCTCGAGCGGGCTCATGGTCTCGTCCATGTCGAATGCATACTCGTCCTCGTCTTCGACGTTGCGCTCGGTCGGCCCATTGGCCTGGTCCGCGAGGACACCGTCGAGCTCGCTGATCGTGTCGTTGAGGATCGCGACCGACTGCAGCATGACGCGCTTGGTCGCAATCAAGTTGGACTTGGAGATGGTGGGGAGGTAGTTGCACGCATCCCAGATGCGACCCGTGAACTCGGGCACGCGGGCGAACTCCTTGACCTGCACGAGGCGCACGAGCTCCTGCATCGTGCTCACAATGCGCCTACACATTAGCATCCTGAGCGACCGCGTTCCTAGCATGTGAACGAACAGCGAGCCAGCGATCATCTCCTTGGTCAAGGCATAGCCGGCGCCGGCAAAGATGGCGACCTTGAGCGCGGCAAGGAGCTGCTGGCACGGATCGTAAATGGCCTCGCAGATGCTCTGCGCCTCGCGCTCGGTCGGCGTCTTGGACTTGGCCATGACGAGCGAGAACTTGGTCACTTGCGCGTTGATGCTGCCGGCCGCCTAGTACGTCCATGCATCGCCACGCGCTCGTATGTGGTCCTGCGTCGTACCGCTAACAGGACATCGCGGGCGAGGCTAAAGTCGCTGTTGGCCTGCCAGAACTTGGCGGCGAAAGCGCGCTCGACGTTGTTCTTGGCCTCGAGGTCCTTGAGCTCGGCGACGCACGTCGCCATGCCACTCGCGAGGTTGTCCATCTTGCGTCCCGATTACGATTGGCCAATGGTGCGGGCAGGCGA